GTTCATCCCAGCAAAGGTTCATTTTACTATAATATATTTAAACATTTTACAGCTCAAGATTGGTGAAGACCATTTGAATGTTTTTAGTGTATTTTTATTATTGCTTTAGATAATTATAGGAATAAAACGCGCTTTCTTTACTTTTAAATGACTGTCTTTATTTAATTTTTTTAAAATTAAATTATTCAGTGAAGAAATTGCTTCATAAAAACTGCGCTAAAAAATTGTTCCACTTCATTAAATCTGAATCCTCTGCAATGGATGATCGGATTATATCACATTCCGTGTGCTGTAATATATTCCAANGAACCACCCTATATCTTGAATTAAAAAGAAAATCCTGGTTGAAATATATATAACTTATGAAATTTTAATATTAAGGTAACACATCGATTTTTAGCTTATTTAAAAAACTAATATTAAAGAAAATTTTTTACCGTTTTTAAAATCAAAATGTTTTAAAGAAATATCAATAGTTATTTGACATTTAAAAAAGAAAGAATTTTCTGACAATAAACGTTAACTTCAACAATATTTGACGTTGGATAAAGAAAATCAATCTTCAGCTTTAACATTATGAGGATTTTCTAGGAAGAGAATAAAATGAGTTTAGATTAATTTTTGATAAAATTTAGTGATATTTGTCGCTATATTAAGAATATTTTAATAGGAATTCTTATCTTTTTTCACGTATTTTGATAGAACATATTTAAGGATTTAAATCTGTAATTATTCATATTTATTTTTCAACAATTATTTACAAAATTATTCTTCAAACTATTCGAAAATAATTAAATAAATTGGCGACAATTAGGCAATAAAACGTTCTAGATACTCCACACGCTAATTGGTTTATTTGAATACAAATTAACCAATCAGTTTCTCACTTTTCTAGAGTCGTCTCTATAATCCGTAAATCCGTTATAAAATCAATAACGGTTCGAAGATTAATTTATATTTTAATCTAAAGAAATGGTATTAAAGGTAATTTGATTTAAAATTCTTGTGTTAAATAATATTTTAGGCTAAATTTTTAATAAAAATTTAGAAAATTTAGCAAAAAAATATCTAAATATAAAGCCTTTATTTATCGAAATAAGTAGGAAAATTTTAAAATACTATTAAATATATTCATTTATATTATTAGATATTAAATATATTTTTAAAATTAATGAAAATCGATGTGGTGTAGAATGATCCTTACTATTGATCTGTAGTAGAAACTAGGCGTTACCTTACAAAATTAGAAAGTATTGAGTAACTAAAGACGTCGATAAATATTTCTAAAAGAAAATTAAGTATCTTAATTGTTATATAAACGATACTTTCGTTAAAATCTTCTTCGTTGTTTTACAATTTTACTAGAATTTATTGTATAAGACAGAATCTAGAACTGTTTATCAAGCTCCTTGTAGAATAAACGATAAAGAAAATTAGTGTATTTTGTTAGGATATAAAATAAATGAAAGAAGCAGAAGTTTGAATTGTTCAAAAGATATTATTTATTGCTGATGTCATGAAAGAATTACTATTATTATTATTAGGGCAAAAGCGACATTCTTTCTTGATTATATATTTATTATCCTGTGTTTACAATGGGCTCCACTTTCGGTTGACATCTCACAATATATCATAACAGATGGAGCCACACGTAGTTTTAAATGTTGCGGAAAAGTTAAGCAACTCGTTGCTGGATTTTTATATTATTGAATCTTAATTAGGAGGTCTCTCTAATCTATAATATAATTTTTATAGTATAGGAGGTCGTTTATCTTTTATGATAATTGTCAATCTACATGATACTATGTGACAATATTTACACTGTATTATATAATAAAAAATCTATGTTTAAGATGATGATGTCTATTGCATAAACATACATTTAAGTGCTCATTGAAATGCTATGTTCATATCCTAAAATATAACATTTATATTATGTAACTTTAACTCTTTCGGCCTTATGCCACACTAAGGCCTTTTAATCACATCTATCATGCATTCGGCCAGGCCCTCATGGGGTGTCTGGCCGAATGCATGGGCGGTGAGAGATAAGACTTACTGCCCATAAAGATATTCCTGGTGTTATTTGTTCAGATACAATCCAGGATACTCCAAAGCGGCCAGATTGATGCCTAATTTTCTCGGCCATCCAGCCGTGTAACAATATTAAAACAAAGACTTCAGCATAAAACTATGTTACTATGTGATATACGCGAAACAAATTACTTAATTTTTATAATTTTCAATAACAGGATTTGCTCCGAAGATGTATATTTTTGTACTTAAGTGCTATACAATGTTTCTATAGGATAGTAGTGATGTACTATAAATACAGTAGCAACAACGTGATATAGATGTTATCCAAGTTGCATCATTATGCCATCTGTCGATAGAAAGAATCACTAATTTATTATGACTGTCGATATTTCACACTTACATTTCTATTTATGTTTAGTCTATTTCTTCCTATGATTAATATTAAAAAATAATAAAGTTAATAAGCTACATTAGTCGTGCATTTACTTATTAAGTTATTGGATTTCCTATTGTTGTTCTTGAAACAAAGTACAGTATTTAGTTTTCTATAAAGAATTTTTCTAATTTAAAACTAGATATTACTTTTTGGAATGTAATTTTTCTTTTTTTTTTCCTTTTTACTGAAATTCGTTTTCCGTTAATGAACTGACTATCCATTGAGAATCACTGATCCGGATTAATGGACTGAATACTATAAAGTGTTCGGCTTTTCTGTATGAGTACAATAACCGCTACCTTCAGAATTCAGAGATTTTTTCAGCATTCTTCTTGAATAATGCCATCCATCTCTTAATACCATTTATTATCTAAAATATTAAGATTAAAAGAATGCAAAACGTTCTACAATGTGAGAAACACTAGTTTTAAAAGTGATTAAGTATTTTAAAAAATACAGGATAGCCTAAATATTAGTTAATTCTAGTTTTCACGAATCTCAGGCCTAATGATGGAGGAAATCCAAGATATATCCTGAAGGCCTCGGTAGGAATCTGTATTTTTAAGTCTAAAAATTCGTTTAATGTAATTCAAGTGAAAAAAAATGAGAAAAAAATCAATATAATAAGCCGAGAGCATCACTTCTTAAAAAGAAGAATAGAGGGACCCTGAGGCCCTAGCTTCAGGGTACGTGATTGCTCTTGTCATAACTTAATACGATGAAAGTTGTGTATTGAATAAGTATTTCGTTTCAAACTGCTCTTGAAAAGTTTGTACGAAATAAAGTATTTGAATAAGACAGCAATTTAGTCTATTCAGTGGTTATTTGACTTTTGAACCACCCTATATTTTGAATTAAAAAGAAAATCCTGGTTTAAATATATATAACTTATGAAATTTTAATATTAAGGTAACACATCGATTTTTAGCTTATTTAAAAAACTAATATTAAAGAAAATTTTTTACCGTTTTTAAAATCAAAATGTTTTAAAGAAATATCAATAGTTATTTGACATTTAAAAAAGAAAGAATTTTCTGACAATAAACGTTAACTTCAACAATATTTGACGTTGGATAAAGAAAATCAATCTTCAGCTTTAACATTATGAGGATTTTCTAGGAAGAGAATAAAATGAGTTTAGATTAATTTTTGATAAAATTTAGTGATATTTGTCGCTATATTAAGAATATTTTAATAGGAATTCTTATCTTTTTTCACGTATTTTGATAGAACATATTTAAGGATTTAAATCTGTAATTATTCATATTTATTTTTCAACAATTATTTACAAAATTATTCTTCAAACTATTCGAAAATAATTAAATAAATTGGCGACAATTAGGCAATAAAACGTTCTAGATACTCCACACGCTAATTGGTTTATTTGAATACAAATTAACCAATCAGTTTCTCACTTTTCTAGAGTCGTCTCTATAATCCGTAAATCCGTTATAAAATCAATAACGGTTCGAAGATTAATTTATATTTTAATCTAAAGAAATGGTATTAAAGGTAATTTGATTTAAAATTCTTGTGTTAAATAATATTTTAGGCTAAATTTTTAATAAAAATTTAGAAAATTTAGCAAAAAAATATCTAAATATAAAGCCTTTATTTATCGAAATAAGTAGGAAAATTTTAAAATACTATTAAATATATTCATTTATATTATTAGATATTAAATATATTTTTAAAATTAATGAAAATCGATGTGGTGTAGAATGATCCTTACTATTGATCTGTAGTAGAAACTAGGCGTTACCTTACAAAATTAGAAAGTATTGAGTAACTAAAGACGTCGATAAATATTTCTAAAAGAAAATTAAGTATCTTAATTGTTATATAAACGATACTTTCGTTAAAATCTTCTTCGTTGTTTTACAATTTTACTAGAATTTATTGTATAAGACAGAATCTAGAACTGTTTATCAAGCTCCTTGTAGAATAAACGATAAAGAAAATTAGTGTATTTTGTTAGGATATAAAATAAATGAAAGAAGCAGAAGTTTGAATTGTTCAAAAGATATTATTTATTGCTGATGTCATGAAAGAATTACTATTATTATTATTAGGGCAAAAGCGACATTCTTTCTTGATTATATATTTATTATCCTGTGTTTACAATGGGCTCCACTTTCGGTTGACATCTCACAATTTTTATCCAATTCCTCCTGGATAATATTTAATTCTGAATTATTTTTATCGTAAATTAGTTATTAATATATATCTATATTTTCTTTTAAACTTTATAAAATATATATTTTACTTTTTTTAAAATAATTTTTAGCAGAAAATTCCTTTTTTGTCGTTAAAAAATGTATTATTGATATGTTTGAGTTAAATTAAATTTTTTTTTATTTAATTTATTTAGAATAAATTTTATACAGCCGCGGATTTGTCTACAAACGGTTAACCAATCAGTTTCTTTCTTTTCTAGAATAAATCTGTACATTTCGCTCATTGGTCGATTTTGANTGTAAAAACAAAAAAAAACAATAGATAAATAAACAAAACAGAACAAGACAAATGAATTTTGAGATCTATATTTCTCAAATATTGTACACGACGACCTGATATCGGTCAATTTTGTGCAAGACATATGTTTTGATTAAAAAATAAAAAACAAAAAAGAAGAAAACATTCCTTCGTCTGTTTCTTATTGCAGTTTGTAGAGCAAAGTGAATAGAGACACGACCAATTGACAGGTATATGTGTATTTATATATATATATATATATATAATAATATATATATGTATGTGTGAGAGAATGCTGAATTAAATTATTGCTAAAGAAAAGAAAAAATATGGTTTTTGGGCAAGATCATCAAGCAAAGGATCATCATCATCATCATCAGTTGGAGAACAACGAATGACAGTTATTAACAAACCGTTTTTTCTACTGTATATATTACAACGTAATAATAAACACTTTATACAGGGGGGGACACATGGCAATCGGGGATATGTACACGCTGCAATAAACAGCGATATCGTTTCTCCTGAATTTAGGAAACGTTATACAAATAGGTAACGCACATTATAGCAGCATCCTATTAGTGTAAGTATTGTAGGCCCTACTTATTATGTCCACATTTAATAAATACACATTTAAGCGTTAAGGATTGCACTTCGGGAACTGGTTCATACCCTTCCACATATCCATAATTTCTTATTTTCTCCCATTTTTTCAACGGTCTGATGGGAATAAAATCGCTCCTTCGATTGGCACTAATTGCTATAGTTTATATTTCTCGAGTTATTTTTCGACCAAACCGATTAGGAACCATCTTCGTGCCTTGTTTATATTAAAGATGTTTCTTTCGTCGTATTCGTTTAGTGAACCAGATTGTGATTAACAAGAGAAGATACTGAAACAACAAGGCAGTGGTTGGACAGTAAGTGGACAACAAGGCATAGCACCAATGTCAATATGGCAACGATGTGATCAAAGTTCTGATCAAAGCTCCAACACAGGAATTAAGATGAAAAAGGAATATAGCAGGAGATGTAGAATCTTTGTAGCTTAAATAAGATCGCCTCGGAAAGATAAGAAGGAAATCGTATATTCCCTTTGTCCATCATCAGCTCGGCTCGTAGTGGACAGCTCAGCACCTCAGACACAGGTTGGTGTCAATCCCAGCCGTATTGATCCCTGTATCCACAAACTTTTCGAAAGGTGCCAAAGTTGTTTCGAACTTTCATCGCACCGAGTTTTAATCAATTTCTTCAGATTTCTTCTGACTGAAAGTCGTCTTCTTCCTCCTCCTCTTCTGGTTCTTCGATTGTCACTTGAAATTTAATCCTGTCAGCCGCTGCATTCAAGCGCGAACCGTAACTGGGCATTTCTCTTTCTCTCATAGATTCGGATATTTCGTGAGCGCTAGACGAAGGGCTGATTGGTATCATGTTCTGGTACCAATCACGATTTTCTTCCAACGTATCTAAAATCTCCTGAGCATCTGGATGTACTAAATCTCCCCAAGTCTCCCAAAGGGGATGGACTATATAATCAATAAACCCTACCTATAAAGAGATTAATAATTATGTTTACTAATCAAATATTTAATAATATTCATCTAACTTCAATATCTAGTTAATCACCTGAGATTTTTCAATGCTAATATTATGACGATCACACATCGGACTTATATCCATTCCACAGTCTCTTTCTTTATCACCTTGTTGAAAAAATTCCTCCATAATTAAATTCACCCAATTTTTATACAAATCTAAAGGTTTTGTTGGATTACTGAGATCAGCGCAATGTACCATATTCTGTAGCACCTGCAAAAACATATGAATATTTTTGTTTAATTGAAAGAACCGAATAGAATTAAATGTAAACATTGTAGATGCCTTTACCTGAATTCTTTCTGTATAATTATCTAGATGTAATACTCCAGATCCAGAAATTTTCTTGGTTTCCACCATTGTTTTGAGATCAGCTAATAAATTCATGTGTTTGGACATATCAGTAGCCAAAACCTGTAAGTAGCAAGAGTTTAGTATTTTATATTTTGAGAATTTAAATCAATTAAACGTGTAGAAAACCTAATTAATACCATGTCGATAGTCATCTTCCTAAGTGATTGTCTTTGCTTTTTATTAAGATTGACAAAAATGTTGCAGTTTTCATCTTGAAGTAATTTAAACGCAACAGCCAACGAATGATTCTCTAGAACAGATTCGTCGTTGTACATCAATGCCAATTCAGAACCTAGAAAATAAAAATATTTATTAATCTTTTAGAAATTTCTATCAGAATTAAATACAGTGATGCCTCGTACTTCGAATTTAATTAATTTCAGCGTTCGAAGTACGAGGTACTGTACTGTATCACTGTGTATAAAAATCTTTCAAGGACAGAAAAAATCTACAGAAATTATTTGATCATAAGCGAGGGAGAAAAATAACAGAATTCATGTTTATTATTAAAATATTTTCATTAATTTTTCACAGAAATTGGTAGAGTATAATAAATAATTAACTTACTAGAATTAATTAAGTATTGATTAGTCACACCCGGATGATCAGCATCGTGAATGGCTGCAGCGAATAAAGTTGATAAAATCTCCAAGTCACCAAACACTGTCTACAAGAACATGATTTTTTTTTGTAAATGTGACATCTTAATATATATATTTATATATATAAATAAGCTTACATCAAAAGCAGAAGCTAGTAATAATACATGCACCGATTGCGTGACGTCCGCAGCGTGGGTGCTGTTATGATAGGGTACTTTTAAATAATGATCCTCTAACGTCAGAAGGAAGGTGATCAAAGTTTTGGACGGTATCTTAAATGTCTTCAATAAATCCCTCTCCTGAAACGTAACAATTGTAACGCTCAGTTGCTAGAAAACGATACGAAGCACTATCGATTGATATTGATGCGATGGCAATACCTACTTACTCGAAATATCGCGTAGGTCATCGCAGTTAATGGATGCCCATTAGAGTATTCAGAAATTTTGAAGATATCTATTCCCCACCTATCTAAATCTTTAAGATACTAAAAGAAATAAATAAATATTTATGAAATTTTTCGGCAAAGAAGGAGGAATTAATGTTTTTTAATCACTGGACTCACCCTTCCTAATTCTTCTTCGTAGCATGTTTCAACACCGTATTTAGGCAATATGCTGAGGCTGTTTGTGTGACATAACGTTTTCTTGATGCCAGTTATCTGTGACATGGACTGTCCACCTCGATGTCTTGCTCGACTGGGAACCACCTGATATGTTTCCTCTTCTCGTAAACTGGATAAGTCGACTTCCTGTTTCTTATCTGAATGAAGTTTGTGTTTGATTTCTCGTATTTATTTAACTAAAAATTAATAAAAATTTCCGATTTTTTTTTCTAACTTACCGAGAAATGTATAGATGTAATCAGAAATTTGACTTCCCGTCTTGGTGTCAGAAAAATGGCTGAGTTCCTTGTTAAGCATTCTTTTGAACTGAAAAAGTAGAGAAAAAAACAACTATATTAGGAGATAAATTTTTCAAATATCCTTTTTTTTACAGCGATGTTTACGATGAGTAAGAGACGGATTATTTATCTTATAACATCATAAAGTGCTAAATTACCCAGTTAAATTCTCATTAATCTCTTTCTACTTTAAAGATTCTCGAACGGAAGATGTTTACATACATTCCAAGTGAGTGCAGTTTATGAGTTGCGAAAGATGTGAGTATATATATATGACGTCAAAAATTTCTGGATGTAAAGCAACTTACCTTGCTGAATGCCATGTCTCCCACCGACCTATGTGCCTGAATAGTTTCCAACTGCTCTAAACACCAATCCAATTCGTCCAAGGTTTCTTGAGCCAGTTTAGACTGTGGCTCTTCTAACAAAATATACAACAAAAGGATTTAATTTTTGTATTTTTTTTTAGAATTAAATTAGAATTTTGAAAGAATTTTAAACGGTTTTTAACGGTTTAGAATAATTAAAAAAAAAAAAAAACATAATTTTCGCGTAAGCAAAGTTTAAAATAAACTAAAATTACTCCAAAGTGAATCATATTAAGTTAAGACCTTAATTACAATTACGAGAAGTATAATGTTAATTATTTCAATTGAAAAAAAACTATTTAAAATAATCTCATTTAAGCGTATAAACTACTACTTTAAAAAAGTTTTAATGAAACGAAATTTAGAAAATTAGTGAAGTTAAACTTGGCAGGAAGATTTATGAAGAGAAAAGACTGAATATAGTAAGCATGAGGTAAACAAGAATCGCATTAATTCTGTTAAATGTATTTAGGATAAACAAAATTGAATTAACTCCCATCAATCAAAATCTAATAACATACTTCAAGCGAATGGGTAAGGAAATTAGCTTTTTTTTCCCTGTAGATTTAACTGTAATTTTAACTTTAAATTATAAAAATATCGTTCGAAATCAATGGCAAATGTTGTCCCAGATCGATTTTCGAGTTAAAATTCGATATATCAAATTATACAGTCGACAAATATTATATATATATAAAGTTATTACTGTCCTACACGTGCTTACATACGAGTTATATATTATTAAAAGTAAAAATTTGGATGAAACTCACCAGAAATTGGTCTTGCGGGACTACTGTTGCTAGGACTGATAGTGATTTTCTTGTTTCTATATAAGGAAATTAATAAAAAAGAAAATTATAATTTAGTCACGAATGTGATGCTGATGATCATTAAATGGCAAAAAAAAGTAATGATGATGATGATGAAGAGAATATTGTATATAATAATAATAAAAGTAATGCTGTGTTATGATTAAGAAATAAAATGGATGAATAATATATGATGATAGTAAACTAAACGATTATAATTATGAAATATATGATGATGATAATAATTATAAATTTAATTATTAATAAAGGAAACTCACTTAATGGGTGATACGTTGGTAATACAGATATAGTTGTTTCGTACATTTTTTAAACTTGCTAAAATCTGGGCGAAAGGTGTGACGATCAAATCTTCGCTGTGTCTGCAATGTAAAACAATCGATAATTGGTTTTTGGCCATAGAAATGACATCAAATGTATCATCGGTCATCATTCGTCATTAGCTAAAAGAATATTTCTTTCGTCATCACTTACACTTGATTGCTTTTCTCAGAATGCATCGTAACTATAGCCGAGAATTGTAGGAACATATGTGACGACACGAGTTGCTTATTTTTCGAATTTGCCGGTAGTGGTGATAAAGAGACTTATCGATAAGCAATTATTATGATGAAAACGCTTGAAATTGGCTCAGACGTTTGGCTATAAATAGAGAGGTGAATGGCAAAATTCCAGTAGAAAGCGAAAGAGGAGTACCTAGAACAACATCAAGACAGTACTGGATCATAGCCAATTAGAGAAAGTAACTATTGCAATATTATCGAGTAAATATCCGTCCCAGTTGTTGTGTAGACATCGGGAGGTGGTCTTCTTCTTCTTCTAACTAAAGAGTGATTCACCTCGACTGAATGCAACTCGACAATCACCACTTTCTAACCATATAACTTTTAAAAAAAATACTCACTGGTCATTAGCCAGAACAACTTCTATTTTTGATTATTATATCTCTAGCATCGTAAATTACCTCAACAATAAGCGTTTTATATGTCTTCTTCTGATAAAGAATCAACTTAATACTAATTTTAAAAGCTTCCACTCCCTCCAAGAAGACGTTTCAGAAGAAAATAAACCCCACAAACTGCAAAATTTCCAGAAAAACGTATGTATTTATACATATTTTTAACTCATAAAGGTAATGCCCTAGTTTATAATCTGGCACAAGAACACGCTCCAGCATCAACTCTCCAACTAACTTCTAACTAATTGAGCTACAAGTTTAATCTACGTTATCGAGGGCGTTACGTATGTTTACGAATACTTTAAATATTAAAAAAATGTACACGCAGTTCGTCATATAGTAGGCAAGGCTTTACTCTGAATGGAAATTTTGGATAAATCCCAAGAAAAAAAAATTAATTTACGTAATTTTAAACTTCATGCAGGCCAATGCTATAAATTACTAAATGTAGATATTGGATAGAGGATTTTAATGTAGTCAAATGAATCGTTAAGCCAGAGATAGATATGAAAATTTATCATGATAAATGTACGAGTATGTAGCGAGTCTGGCGAACTTAAATCGCTATGTTGTGCTCTGCCAACTTGGCATACCGACTTTTTATGACCTTCTAAGATGATATTCCTTCCCACCAACAACAAACAATAAATTATATACATTTATAAAAATTTTCTGTATAGTATCGTTTTGATTTATGTTAAGTTTCATGTGAAAATATGGGTGTTAAATCCTTAAATTCTTACATTCCATCTAATACATCTTCTAGAATCTCTAGAGCTCTTTACGTATGAATTTCACATCTAAAAGGTTATCTGTAGATGACTGAAGTGTTAAAATATCTTTAACCTTTTCCACTCCCTTCTAAAAGGCTCGGTTTTTCAATAGTAGACCGCGGTCTACCGTTTAAGAAATTGAAGAGTATCGTTTCTCGACTGACGTTTTCTGGATTCTTTTCTTATCTTTAATCATAGATAATAACTGATATCAAAGTTAATTATGAATTTATCGTTGAGATTATACAATTAACCTCAAATTTTAGACCATATTTGCCGTTAATTCCGACACACCCAATTTTATAGTTTCGACAAAACTTTCCAACGTATCATAATCATAATTAAACGTCAGAAAAGTTTTTAATAGACGTGACGTTTGTGTAATAAATGGAAAAAGAATTCTTTTTACGGTTTTAAAATTAATTAAAAACGTCTTCCAGGTCTGCTATCGTATCTATTTTTTGAATTTTCAGAATTGCCACGACGTCCAACGTATGAAAGGTTATTGTTCTATCTTCTAAATTTAACAGTTGTATAGACGAAGGAAGTAATTCTGTGTACAGTTTAACAGATCAAAAAGATTTCATGAAATTTTTATGAAAAGACGTGTTGATATGTGACAAAAAAAGAAAAAAAATTGAGAAATACTTGACTGTCATCGAACATGTTTACTCGCCACGTAATCGATGGAGAAACCTTCCTAAATCCAATTCATCAAACGACAAAAATTCACATCACTGATAGAAAAAATACCTTTCTCTATTTACTGTTGACGCTATTTTGTAAGAATTTTATCATTCAAATATTTAAAAAATGCTGAATTTTTTTCCAAATTCCTAACCTGTAACTTATAAAGTTTTGTTTTTAATTAATTAAAGTAAAAGGATAAATTTCTTAAAATAATTTTGTTTTTGGAATTTATAAGAGTTTAAAGTTTGATATTAAATTAAAAATTTAAAAGATAGAATGGATTTCTTCAGCTGTTCATTTAAATTTAATATCTAGTAGAAGATTTTGCACGCTTTTTTTTTCCTCCTCTCCGAAATAGAACCAACTGTTACAGTTTTAATTTAAAGGTGTTCTACGAGTTAAAATATTTACGACTGGACTTAAATTTACTGATAAATAACTCGTAACAGTTATCTTTTCCACGACATTTTCAATAGTAATGCCATGAATCACTTGGAAAGGATCCACAAGATTACCAAATTCGTCAGAAAGATATCCAAGTTGCGCGTTGAACTTTGAACTTATTGTTGCTCGCTTGTTAAAATAAGATTCCTTTAATTTATTTTTATGATTATTTAATGAGGTTTTTCGAAGGTTGTCCCAACTCAGAACCGAATATCGGTAACGCCCAGGGAGTCATTGATCGTCAACGGAGGAAACGCATCACCTCCACACCCAAACTCTTCAGACAAGGTATCGATTGTCTAGACAAAGGAAGCAACTCGCATCAAACCACTTGGAAAAATGACTTTTAAAAGTTAATTACCGACGTTAATGCGGCAAAAGATGTAGCAGGTGCTCCTGTACTGGTTAAAAAATCGATCGACACAACATGAGTACAACTTACGTGTCGCTTCCTAAGGAGGAATGACGTGAAGCGGATTTTGGTGACATTTCGTATTCGCTGTCCGACCTGTACAGGAAGGATTCTCTTCTCTGTGGGAAAGTCTGAAGGACCAGTCCTGAAGAAGGACTCGAAGCATCCAGGAGGTGGCGATTTTGAGTCGAGCCATCGTCCACGTCGAAACTGTAAATAGGGAGTTAAAAAAATGCTGTAAAACTCACTTTAAGAATCATAAATAAGCCCCGAGGAGGACAGAAAGGCAACAATCTCTATCGTTTTTTTTTTCTTAACTAAACGCGAAAAAAAGAAATCATAATTGCGATCATTATTAATTTCCGTGTTTAAGATCGAGTCTATTAATCTTCGCTAAAAGAATATTATTTTTATTTTTTTATTTTTTTTGTACGGTGTGAACGGATATGACGTCTTCCCGTTGCTATGGAAACCGCAGGCTAACACGAAAATTCAAAATGTACTTTGTAATTTTTTCCCCCTCTATACGAGTTGAGAAAGCCGACAGAATATAAAATAATTGATGAATTATTCATTCGAACCATTAAATTAATCGACGTGTAAAAGTCGGTCTTAAATCCAATTAGAATCAATAGGAGAAGGCGAGATGAGGAAGATGTGTAGATCCGGATCGAATTTCTGGTCCTAGTCGTCATGGGAATGGCGGCTCTGACGTCACGAAAGATGTCTGACACTCTCGTAGGGGAGGCGGCGTCGAAAAGGATAGAAGTAGGTCAAAGACGTCATGCTTCTCATGCTAAAACTCCTACCTCCGATATCACGTGTTAAGGTATCGACACAGTAAAAGCCAAGTTGATAAGTGTATGAAACTTCCAACTAGTTTATAAAGGGGAAGCTTTTAAATTATTTTTACCATCTTAAGTGAATATTCCATCAAAAAACTCTCTTAAAGAATAAACGTTTGATTAATTGCATAAAACGATAAGGATGATCCCCCTAATGGAAGTTGTTTTTTTTTTAATCCTTTTATACATCTATTTTTATTAATTTAATCCTGTAATGTCGATGCGTTGCAGGCAATTTAACTTCTCGGCGTGTTAAAGATAAAATTGATCGAAAAATAAAACAGAAACATGTAAAAGAAAAGATGAAAATCTTTAAAGGAGAGATGCAAAAGGGGGAAAAGAAACGTTTACCTTCCGCACGACTTTTCCAAAAACTGCTTCCTCGTTCCACATCCACATCTTGACATACGAGCCGAAGTAGGGGCAAGTGTGACACACGCTCTTCTCTCCCCCCTCGGATACAGATACCTTATCAGAGAAAGCAGCAATACGGCCAGGGCCAGCATTCTCTCATGGCAAAATCGTGTCGAGTAGAGGTCTGTAGTGAGTCATCCCATTTTGCTAGAGGAAAATCCGGCGCACATCAAGACCGAAAAGGATATTGGAAGATGTGAGAGGCAGGCCACTCCGCTTCCATGGGGTGACACCGCAGCAATCAATGTCGTCTTAGCTACTACACGGAGTGGTTATATTACGGGTTTGACGGTATAGTGACGCGCTTTGACTCATGGGATTGATCGTGACTTATAAGTCCTCCCTCCTATTACACCTGGCTAACACATCGAAGCGTTCGACAAGTACTCGTGTTTGTAAACTTCTCCGTCTGACTTGCTATCCTTGTTGGAAAACGCAATTTACAGGGGCAAGCGCATCAATGCGTCAGTCCGTATAGCGCATTCTGTCAGATACATTCACTTCGGCGATACAAACATCAAAACAAGATTATAAAGCCGATGCGCTGCAACAACACCTATTTATCTTACTTACGTTTTAAACTAGTTTATAAAAATTCTCAGTGTTTTTCCCCCTAGAAACTAAATGGAGTCGCTCACACAACCGATGTTAACGAAGATTTCTTGATTGTTTCTTGTCTTTACAACGTTATATTCGTGTTTAATAGTTGGACAAGGTGGGAATGAACACGAGAGCTTAAACAATTTAGGCAGGACCGATGTTAATTTGTGTAGATCGAACACTAATCGAATTAATTCAATCAATGTTTGGATCGCTTCCAGGAACAACCAAAATCGAGAGAAAATCAACTTTACAGTAACGCTTCTTTCTCTATTAACTGTTTAATTTTCTGATAATTGAATAAAACAAATTGTAAATTGAGGCAGTTAGAAAGATGTTTATTACCACGGAACGAAGCTCGGTTAATTTAAAATTAGAACTGATAACATTTAAATTAATCATATAATTCGATTTTCACGGCACTGTAGCAATTACCTGTATAAATTTAACAATAATTAATTAATAAATAATAAACTCGACGCTTATAATATTAAATTTTTTACAAAATAGAATACATTATGATATCATTTTTTAAGTAATAAACAGCGTAGAAAGCAACTGACAATTCGATTTATCTTTGATTACGCCAGTGTCTTCTCGATAACCCAATTTAATTTTATCAAGAGAAAATTATCATTTAACGTAAATATTTACTTTTAAAACACAACAAAATCAATTTATTTATACGTTTCAACATTTTAAATAATAAAAAATTATCTTAAAAGTAAAGAATTTTTAAATCGATCTGTACTAAAACATACAAAGAATTGTATTTACAAAGATCAATGATACGTGCATAAGTACATATTATATTTTTGTAAGAGCAATTGAAAAATTCTAGATCGATCACTCTTATAATAATATATATATTATATTCCTTTATTCTCCTTTTCAATGAACACGTAATCACAAATTTTATATTTTCGAGTGTTTTAATCTTTACGTTTTTTTTTTCTTTATCTTATTCTAGCGTGTGATTTAGATCTGTTTCAAACTGTACCGGCAGCATCTGTAAACAATAGTGTTTGCCCTTATCTACCGAAGTTAAGATAATTCTGTATACTTCGACTTGGCTGGCATTATGCCAAATTACACGCAATCAACAAACTACATGCATACACAGACACACACTCACCTTTCTAGGTAGAGAATGAAGCTTTGGATCCCACTAGTCAATTGTTATTTAAGTATAAATTAAATATTTTGAAACTATTTTTGAATTTTTTATTTGTAATTTTTAAACGTGGCTTTTATTTTTCACAGAATTTCCTATGCTAATTTTATTTCTAGTTAAAAAATTTCCTAAATGAATTGCATTTTCTGTATATATATATTGCGCTACTACTAATATATTATTTGCATAAAAATTAAATGACTTTGAATTTTATGTAAAAATATATTTACCACGTTACGTCCATTTTAATTTAAATAAAAAAAATTCACAAAGACTTTTCATTTCATCGAAATTTCATGCGTTTACACAATAAATTTCATTCATTTTTATGCATTTTTGTAACTTCAACTCATTGATAAATTCTATAAATCCTATAAATTTATCTCCGTATTATAGATTTTCCTTTGAAATAATTAATTTATTTTTCTTTAAAAGAATAAAATAAAATTCTACATGTAAAAATTCTTTTATATTTTATGTTAAGTAATTGAATTTATAGCTAGTATGCATCTTGTAGACAGATGGTATTTTCCCTTGGGATATCCATATTGTGGTTTTATGTTCATGCTCCGATAAAGTACCCAATTTTAATCTATTTTTTTCCTTTATTTTTTCATCTATTAACCACTACACTTACCCAAATATTAAAATATCATATTAAAATTGAAAGTGAATAAGGTAAACAAATATTTTTCCAGCTTATGAATCATAGAGAAGAATACAATATTTATCTATTTAAACTAATACAAAATAAATAAAATTAAGTCAAATCATCTTAAAAAAACACATCCTTTCCTCCTCCACTTCTCGACTTTAATAATAAATGTATAACTTATTAAATTAAATAAAGTTTATATGCTAATAAATCTGACCTTATGTATATTTTTAGTTAAAATACATCCTATTAAAGTGTAGCGGCATAAATTAAAAATAAAACTAAATGAAAATCATCACATGGAGTAACAGTCATAATGAGAATATGTTGAACAAACACCTTCTATCCTTACAGAAAAAAATATTTAAAAAAATTCAGCGAATTATCGAGAGTATCAACTGAATATCTGCAATCATTCATAAGTCTACAGTTGCAGCAAAATAAACTAAGTTGAAAAGTAAATAATGACACAAGAACTAATTTTCTTCTATGCTATCCTTTTGAGACTACGTATCGATTGATAGGTAAGGTGCGTAATGCTTTACGCAGCTTTACATCCACAATACAATTCATTTTTTTTAAAGGTTTGACTCCTAAAAAATTCACTTTCAACGACACACCCCTGTATTAAATTCTAAATCATTATTATTATCTTATTCATAAATCTGTTTCAATGTTACAGATTTCGAATTTAAATGGATATATTTAACTATAAGTCACTTAAATTTGAATCAATTCTTCGATCGATAAGCTCGAGAGAATTAAGAATAAAACATTAAATTGTTTTTTTTAAAAAAGAAAAATAGCAGGAGTCTGATTAAAGCGCCGATAAAACTCTTAAAAAGTTGAATGAACTCTGACTTAGTTTAATACATATTCTCTATATTTAAAGCTAAATTTAAACATTAAATATGTAAAAAAATTTATTTATATTATTTATAGGATGATTCTAATTATAATAGATGGTAATTAATTACTAAATTCAAACCAACTTCACGCTTAATAACGTTTTAGTGGAGTCATCAATATAAAACCATTAACTCTGAAACGAGTAAGCAACGTTAAAATACTTAAAACAAATAACTAAAGTAAAACACGAAAGGGTATTCTTGGCTGAGTTAACGAACAGAGAATGCATTGGCACAATTTTCAAAATTGTTTCGATTCTTTCAGCAATTTACTGATAAAGAAACAAACCACGTGACTATCGATACATTATTACATTTTTCTCTAACAATCCATTAAAAATTAAACGAGAAACAAAAGGTAGCTATAAAACTCTATAAAGGAAGTTACGTGTATCATCTGTACACCATTCTGAGTTTTATTGTCCAACCTCTACCCCCTTCTCGACCTAATTTCGTTGCGTAGACATTGTAAATCGTATATAAAAATTTCGAATATTTTAAATAATAAGAGAGAAAAAAAACAGTAGGAGGGGTGAAACTACTTAAAAAACGTGACGTCAAGTAACATAATACACGTAATATAAACTTCAGTTAAGGAAGAAGAATAGTGAAGGAGAAAGGGAGTGTTTTCGAATTGGAAAGTAGAAACGATAAAATTGACCTACCTCTTATAAAGCTTTAATCTCAAAGGCGTCAAGGGTAAAGTTTGACCTCTCCTTAATCTAATGTTAGCTTTAGAAGTTTTAGTAGAGCTGGTAGTGACAAAAGTAGTTTTTACTGTCCTCTTACATTCTATCGTTTCGCTCACACTGCTCTGCTCCTTGTCCATTCTTAAAGAGTTAATATCCCATCACACACACTCACAACATACAACACTTGTGTGACAAATCACTGCCGAATACAATAGACACCTCTCGGTTATATAAATAAGCTTGGTACTAAGTTTAGCAACGTCACACTCCTTTCGATCCAATAGTAACTCTTCTGTGTCAAAACCTACTTTGTCTCTCCAAAATATATATATATATATATAAAGTCCTTGAATTGTAACGATGTTATTAATTAATCCCAGTATGCGACCACACGTTACTGATCTTTGTAACGTGTGTTAAGAACTCGAGACGATTGTAATTCATGTACTTTCACGAAATCATGTGACGCGAGTAACAATTGTATCGTCTAGTTTATCAGTTGACAAGTCATGTAGAAGTGTAACGTAATCGAATTGACGAGATGACAATTGCGAAACTTTGTTACGATTTATATACATCATTTTCTTCAAATTTCGTTCTCTTGGAAACAACAGAATTCTATATAATAATGTATAAAAATAGTTCTTTAGTCAATGTGAAAAAGGGTGAATATACTTTTTGATTATTTATAATTTTTTGCAGAGGTTTTAGAGGCACGTAACGTTAGAAAAAGATTGTTTTTTTTGTAGTAACGTAGATGTAGAAGTAATAAAATAGTAAAATGTTTTTTTAGGTGGATTGTACTTTAAGAAGATAAATTATTCTCGGTTTTTTTTCGAGGTAATTGTAAGATTTCCAAAGCTTGTAACTTGACCGTAATGATAAAATATTTGTAAATATATATAGTAAAATACTTAACTTTATACGTAACAATAGAAAATGGTTTATCTTTACTTCTTGTTTACGATTTTAAGAATGATATTTACTCACTATAAATAATCGAAAGAATTGTTTTTTCCTCCTAAAAAAAACGACAATTTTATAGATTGGATACAATTCTGTATTTATATTTAAGAAGTTTACTTGTAATAAAAGCTAAAATTACTATAGATACCAGGAATTTTGCTTAAATAAAACGAGAAAAATATATACACACACACATTTAATTATGTTTAAATGTTAAAAATATATTTATATAACTAATCCACTATAAGAATAAACTGTAACACTAATATACACGTAAGTTAAACCTGCCAAAAAGCATCTTAGATTGGCTCAAACATAAAAGGAAAAGCTTTGAAAATTATTAAATTGCTTCTTATTTATTGAGTTAATAATTTAGTAATATATTTAGATATCAACTAGATAGATTGTATGAATTTGGCTTCATAAATATACTCACATTGGTTAATAAAACCTTTATCGACATCAACTGTAACTATACTAAAATGTCAGAGGATTTTTAAACACTATAATTAGCTAAAGTATAATGTTAAAAGTAATCATAAACAGCCTACTCAGGAAACGGATGTTTTTTTCTGATCACAAGAAAGGATCTAGAATAACTTACTCCCGCCTACAATACTAAAATATCCTCTGTATTAATGTGAAATACATTGAAAAAAGATGCTTAATTTTTCATTTGATAATCAATGAATTTTCAAATTTTTTACAAGATTTAAATTGGAAAAAATAGACTAAATTTTTTAATACAAAGCCATTGATAACATATGTGAAAATATATAAGAAGAAAGGTGTTTAAAGAAGAAAAACCAGGTTAGTTTACCTTAACTTAGGTTAGAATTTGGTAGAAATGTCTACTGAAGAGAAATGACTATCAATAGTTTAATATCTCTAATTATATAAACACATTTAAACAAGAAAAATCAGGTGAAATTAATTATATAATAGGATATAAGTAAGATGCCCGTGAAGAAATACATACAGTAAGTAAAATACCGTATATAACACAAGAATAAATAGGAAAAAAGGGAGCATCTTAACCACGTGATCATCTCATCCCCTTTGTTAATCTTACCCAATTCTATCGGGAATTACGAAGAACTTCATCGCTCGAGCACGTGAGGATTCGACACGTCATAAAGGACAATTTATGACGTGTTTCTTTTTTTCTATTTTTCAACGCTTATAAAACAGTTGTTGACGATTCAAAACTTTCAACATCGCCCCGAAAACAAAATGGAAACACTCCATGACGTCACGGATTTCAATAAGAAAAATAATAAAGATGATTTAGCAAATTTCGGTTGAATTAAGCTAAAGAAGAATCATTATTATAAATGAATATTTTATGTAATATTTTAATTAAGAGTTCCGAATTCGTTTGCTAATCGATAATATAAGTAGGCCTATGTGTGTATACATATAATACTCAGAAAACAAATAATAGTTTCCTTCTAGGAAATGTTCGTAATTAAGAAAATATTTACAAAATTACTAAAGAAATTTCGAGAAAAGTAACATTTTTAACTAGGAAGCGCCGAACTTGTTTTCGTTGCGAATCGTTACTATCTTAAGATAAGCCTTGTCTTATGACGTCAATCAACTGTAATTGTGTTTTATAACCTTTTCGCAACCGGATGAAATTTCTTTATACAATAAAATAAAGCAATCATTATGGAAAAATAATAGTTTATTTTTTTTTTAAATTAAAATATTTTTAAATATCTATATTATCTCTCCTTTCTTTTAAAGAAAAAAATTATATAAATAAAACGAAAACAGACGAACATTTTTTATACAAACTCTGAACGCCAGATGGCGGTAGATAGTTTTTATTATTTTTTCTTATATTTAAATAATAAAATTTAAAAAAAATTAATTAAAACATAAAAATATTTAATATTCTTTATTATCTTTAATTTTTTAATTGTTAAAATAATTTATGCGTTTTATAAAAAGTTATGTTAATTTTACCGGCCGATTACTATAAATCAATACAATATGGCGGCTTTGCTGTTATCAGTTAAGTATAGCAATTTTATTTATTTGTTTTCTTTTTTTTCCGTTGAAAGTTCCGAACGGAAGTATGTGATTATGTAAATTGAGGCATGTTAAATGCTTATTACTCATGAATATAAACTGTCATACATGAAAGTTGGGTTTTATCTAGCCTTATTAGGTTGATAGTTTTAAAATCATACTCACGTAATTTAAATCAGTAAAAATTGGATAAAATTGATACATATACCAAGGAAAATACTTTGTATGGCTACATATACGTACTTACAATCTAATTTAATACATAAACTTCAATTTAAACTTGTTACTAAAACAAAATTGCGTTTCAGTTTAAAAGCTTACGCCGTCTAAGTCTGCAATCGGTAGGTCGCGGTCCCCTTGTGAATCATACAAGATGGTAGCAAATAAAAAAGGTTGATATATATTGCTCTAAGTTGTAAAACTTCTCCAAATACAAAACTCCAATCTTAGAAGCTATAAATTTTAAACACGGAATAGACAAATATGAAGTAGAATTTATAATGTATAAACTTTCCATCCTATGAAGTTGTAAAGTTTAAAATACATAAATTATAAACATAAATTTCAGTATATAAATACATAAACTGCACAAAACTAACTTTATATTACTTTACTGTTTTATAAATTATTCTTTATATGCTATTCTCATAGGTAAATTGTTATCTATGGGAATAAAAATTTCCAGTATAAAAAAATTTAGGATATTGCAAATTCATTATACAAATCTGTAATTATTGGAATGAAGGCCGCAAACTTTGTCAATGAAACTAGAATTTTAAAAATGCGTAAATTATTCATAATATTTAGTTAAAAATACCAGAAAATACATTAAAAAATATGGCATGTAGATTAAAACAAAGGACACGCATTAATTCAATCGTGAATGCCAAAATATTAAAAATTTTGGAAAAAAATTCTATAATCAAACCTCTGAACAACGATAAACTGGCCGGTGTTTTGAGGTTAACGAATAAATGATTCGAATACCTCAAAAATAAAGTTTATTAAACTAATCACGTTTTAATTTATATTATATTAATAATAAAAAGTGTAATTAATATATATTTAATTTATCTCATCCTCTCATAATTTATTAGAACATCCCTATAAGATCATAGTTATAAATTATTTTCCAAACAGTAAAATTCTTTCGAATTAGACCTAGAAAGCTCATTTAATAATGATGATATACTCATTAAGAAGCTGTGTTATAAATAAATTTTGCAAGGAGTTCCTTACTTTCTTATCGATTTACTTAAAATTTTTACAAAGTAATGTTGAAAAAGACAAAAAAAATGTCTTTTACTTATAATTTTTATATTGAAACTCTTTACAAAATTATATTTAATATACCTTCATATTTTTTAAATCTATATGGAAAAAAACAAGAAAATTTTTGAAAAAATCAAAATTTATTATTATTATTTACATGATAATTTGATATTAATTAATTTTATACAAGTTAAAAATATATTTATGAAAGAATTTCTATAAAAGAAGCGATAATTATCTTTAAAATTTAAAAGAAAACTGATTGAAAATAATTTATTATTAAACTTGTCAAATGTCATTTTATGTTGAAAGAGCATTAAATTAAATTAAAATGTGAATGTTAAACAGCATTACAAGAAACAAATGAGAAACTTTATTAAACTATTTTGCTGCACAGATGTTAGAAATTCTATTAACCGGCATTATATACGATGAATAAATAAATAAATAGTTTTACATTATGTAGAAAATTACTATTGTAATTCTACAATTTTAATATTTAAATTTAAAAGATATTTAATTATATATATAAGAGAATTAAACAATGGTTTTATCATTCAATTTTCTTTTCTTTTCCTTCTAGAATTATAGCGTAGTAATGCTGTGATTATTGAAGCAAAACTAAACTTCAAGTAGGATTTAGCTACTCTGTTGGAAGGTTAAGTAAATACAAATACTTAGATTTTATCTAAAAATATTGAGTCCTTTAATACACTTACACTTAAACAAGTGTCTAATTTTTATACGAGCAGAGGTTAGCTTTAAAAAATTTGTAAATATTATATGTAAGGAATTATCAAAGAATTGTTTTTGGAAAAGAAAAAATGATATTTGAAAAATATACTCATAATTAAGATGAGTAATAAATTTAAAATATGCATATCCAGTTGCTTAAGAAGCCAAGTTTCATAAGGAAATGAGATGAAAATGCAGGAAATGATGAAGAATCATACACATAGGAGCTATCCTCAATGGTATTTATTATTTAAACAAAATTACAAAAAAAAACATATATTAATTAAGTATTTAAGTTACTAATCTAGTGTTTAATAAATATAAGAGAAATATAGGTAATTGTTGTATAATTCCTATAAAAGTGTTTCGGAGTTTTATTATATTATTTATTTATTAATGTTAATTTTAAAGAATGTTGCAACATAATAATTACAATCTTTAAGTAGACAATAAATTTCTATTAAAAAACATTGGTAAACATCAATGCTCGAAGCGCATCCATTCCTACGATTCTGTATACAAAGAATAACCATTAACGAATTCTGCCATTTAAGATTAATATAAAATTTGTAAATAAACTGAATTTTTTATAATGTAATAGCCTCGTAAAGCTCAACTTTATTATTTATATTATTAATTTTTCAATATTTAATGTACAGAAACAATGATTAAATTTTGTGTTTTGAATCTTAATATTTTTAAATAATAAGAAAAAGGAAATAAATTATAACAATTGAATTTACATTTAACTGTTTATATTAATATTTAAATTCGTATCATTATAATATCATCATCTACAAACATTCAATTTTACAAATAACAGCAGAAAACTATCATTTAGAGAGAAAACAATTTAATTTTATACACATTTTCTAGATTCATGTACTGTACTGTACATTAAAAATGGAGTTATTAGTTCTTGATACGTGATTAAGCATAATTTGCTAGAAATGTCACTAATTTATTATATTTTTCGTACCGCAATATAACAAAAATACGATAAACAACAATAATAATGGGAGAAAAATATAAATATATACAAAACATTATAAATTTCTATAGCGTAATTAAGCTTTTAGAAATGAATATTTTAATAGAAATTTGGCTAAACTGTTTCATCTAATCGATAAATTTGATATGTACATACAGTACAATTAACTTTATCGATATTAAAAATAGTGTACGAGATGTTTAGAATACGTAATTTATGTTTAAGCGAGTCTTTTATTATGTCTGAAGTAGAAAAATAAGACAGGGGAAATGTTATAGAATATAGTCGAAAGGATTTCCAACAAGCAATTGAAGATTATTGGATTCTAGTTTGTGAAAAATAAAAGCTAGTACACGTCAAAATATCTTTTATTTGTAATCTGTACATTAACCTTTAATTATTTATATTCTTCTACAAATAACATGAGTAAGAAACAGTAAATTTGTTGGAAATACTGTATATTTTTACACATATTAATGTATTTCACATTGCTTAATTATTAATTTTTAAAAAACTCTCGAATTATTGCTACATTTTAAAATATACAATACAAAAGATAATTTTATTAAATACTAATTTATATATTATCTAAACTAGTAGAGAAATGATAAAATTCTAAACAATTCCCTTTTCAATTATTCATGCAGATTAAAACACGTGTTTTTAGAATAACAACATTAATAAAAGTGAATATTTAAATAATAATAATTTAGAAGAATTTAAATAACAAATAAATTCTTAGATCTATTTAAGTTAGCAATAAGTTTTTTTTTTAAATATAAAAGGAACAAAAAAAATAACGAGATTCTCTTCAACAGATGGCACCATAGAAGTGTTATGATAAAGTCTAACACTGGAAATGGTCCAACATTAAACGTTCCTACAAAATATTTTTATGAAATATAAAATTATATACGATAATTATATATATAAATACTAATTTTAGAGTCATAACCATTTATATCTTGAGGTGAATGAACTTTTATCTAACTCGAGCCTTTTCGATTATATTTCTTTATTTATTACGTTAATTAATATAATTTTTCAGATAAAAAGTTTAACTAAGCTTTACGAACGTAAATTAAAATATTATTGTATAATTTAAATTAATTTCTGACTTTTTTCCCTTTTGCAATTAAGCGAATGACATTGATCTAATTCGAGGAATTTATCGTTACTGAGTGAAGATGAATTTAATATTAAAATGGTAATTTATGTCCAGAAGCGATTTTAAAATTAGAATTATAGAAAATAGAAAGTTAAGTAAAAGTTTTATATATTAATTTTGGTTTTTTATTGNTCTTAATCAAAAACTTAGAAGATATTTAATATTTAGAAGTCATGAGTTAAGATTTTTCTTCAGTATATATTGATACAAAACAGGTTCTGTTCATATGAGTAACGTTTAAAGTTGTATCTGCTTGCTGTCATAAAACTGTAATTTTAAAACATGTAAATTATATATTCTGTGAATTATATGTATATGATGTAAGTAATTCACAATATACACAGTATAATATATATAATATTATATACATAAAAATTACTTTAAATTTGATAAAAGCTTTGATTCAAATGTTTACATTTATTTTTATAGAAATTTCATGGTACAAATTTATTGTCATTTAATGTACAGCTTCAATAAAAATAAAGGAAAATAGTAGTTATAGTTTATAGTTGTTGTTTGTACTAAACTGCAGCAAAAATACATTTTCTATCACTCGATTTTGAAGAATAAAAACAAGAAGAAAAAGTACTACATTGTTTACATACCCTTAAAGCTAAAGGTTAAGTTGAAATGTGTTGCGTTTTTAGCAAACGGAAAAGGTTAAAGTAAAATTTGTAATATATTTAAATACTTTTAAAGGTTATGTGTTCAAATTTTTAGCTTATTTATATAAGATTACGTAATGCGAACTGTAGGCAGGTAGTTAAAATTTGTTATGTCTACACCTCCCCAGGGTGTTAAAATACTCAAAACACATCAAAGATTCCGACTGCTATCATTTAAACTACTAACAATAGTACTTAAATTAGTTTCAAATTTCAATATCCTTTATATGTATTAGTGAAATTTGGTTTGAAGTGACTACACCATGCCAAAAATATCTAGAAAGCTTTCCTGGTTTCCAAGTAATTTTACGGACAGAAAAACAGACAGGCAGATAAAGGGAATGCAAAAATAAAAATGCATTTTTTTAGAAAGTATCAAAAAGTAATGACTTGAAATGTGTAATAAAAGGAATGTGAAATTTTATTCAGTTTAAATATACAGTAATTCCTCGATTTAATGGACCCCGATTTAACGGACTTCGGATTTAATGAACGAAAAAGTTCTATCCTAAAGAAAAACTTCTAAATTTTTTTTTATTTGCGTGTAGAGAACGGTAAGGTTGGGTCAATGAGTCTGTTAAATCGAGGGTCTACTGTACTTTACCCAGCTTTCTCTACTAAATACCTTTAAATATTAAAATTGGAAATGAACGTTCATGTGCATTTATTCATAAATATATATCGAATTTTTCCTATAAACTAAACTAATATTTCGTATAATAACCCAATTCTGTATAAAAAATATATAGAATTTAAAGAATATAAAATTATGCATTAAAAGAGATATATAAATATATTTTCATATATATTTATAGAATCTATATTTGATATATAAATGTTAATAAAAATACTTAAATTATATAGTATTTTTATAGTTTAGCTACAAATTCTGATGATTCATAGTGAAAAGCATTTAATTTAATGTTAACCATACACGAATTTTAACTCATGTTCAAATGTTTAGAGTTCATGATTCCATGTAATTATATATAATTATATAGGAAATTATATATGCAGTTTCCTGTAGAACTTTAATCCTCTTTAATTATTATATATATATATTGTTCTAATAGTTTGAAATATATAAAATTTTTACGGGTTTCTCAACATTAAAGCACTTAAATTTTTTAAAATAAAATATACAGAAAATTTATAATATAAAAATTGAAGAATTTATATTAAAAACTGTTTTTATGTATATTTAATTTACGTTAAAATTTATATAATTTAATTTAAAAAGCTTTTTATTATCTTATAACTCATTAATTATGGAATTAAGTTAATTTATAAAAAAATTTATTTCTAAATAAAACTGATAACTAAGTATGTAAATTAACGATAATTTCGATAATTACAACACGATACTATGAAGAAACATTAAATAAATGACGATAAAGTAAAGAATATTATCAGAGAAGTAAAAGGGAAAATATGAGTAAAATATCTGAAAATGTTTTCTCTATATGACATATCAAACAAATACAAAACTTGAAAAATCGTTTTTGTCAACTGTAAAGTAAATACGAGTCGTGAGATGAAATCCTTTATCTCGACTTTAATATCCGAGTATCCTTATCCTGGTATTCAACATTTTCCAGAGTATATGTACCATACACGATCACTGTATACACTGTACATAAACGAAAAGAGCGCTTTTCTTTTCCGTTCTTACTCTACAGTATTCTTATCACGATATTTAAATGAATAATTGTCTTATTGATAAAAGAAAGAAACTATCTGATAATGGATTTTATAACATAAACTACAATTTGTCTCGTTTTATATCCTGTGATATTAAATTTTAATAAACTCTTCCGGTCACGAAAATATTTTCTTTAGTAGTATTAAGTATATATTCATACATATATATATATATATTTAATTCGTTGACTTTCAATAAAACTTGAAACTTGTTGACCTGCGAAGGCGTTTAAGGTCACGTTGATAATATCAACAAACACATTTTTTGTCCATATTTAGAGCTGGTGACGTTTTGCAGACAGGCATCTCTCCTCTGCTTTCTGTACACTTTTTTTATATTTATAAAGATCATTTGCATCATTCATGATAATTTGAATTAAAAGATGATAATTCTATATTTATATTTATTAAGTTTATCTTCTTCTTTTATTGTAAATTATTAAAATTTATAGATGGATTTAAGGTGATTATATCCATTATCTACATATGAATTGAATTATAAATAAACGAGATTAATTTAGATAGAAAACTATAAGAAAATATACAATTTTGACATCTGAAAAAACAATTATGCTAATTTAAGTAACTATATATAAATAATAGTAAGCTAGATTGTAAATTATTTAAAGAATAACGAGTAATAAATAAAATAATTTTGTTTCTTCGTGACGTTCTTATACACAATTTATAATATGAAAAACAGATAAAAACTTGTATTTATTTTAGTAAATTCTAAACAATTACTTTGATGTATACAGCATTTAACCATTATGTTTTGAATACATTTTAGTGGACTTAATGCTTAAAAAATGCATTTGGAATGTAAATTATGCGCATTCTGTCGCATAGCTTTTACTTAACCATTATGAACTATGACTTCCCTGTTATAAGTTTAATTATTTAATTTACATCTAAATACAGTCTTTGGTACGTATAGTTTTAAAAATTCCTTTGATTGATCTGTTGCTGAATCTTAATCAAAAACTTAGAAGATATTTAATATTTAGAAGTCATGAGTTAAGATTTTTCTTCAGTATATATTGATACAAAACAGGTTCTGTTCATATGAGTAACGTTTAAAGTTGTATCTGCTTGCTGTCATAAAACTGTAATTTTAAAACATGTAAATTATATATTCTGTGAATTATATGTATATGATGTAAGTAATTCACAATATACACAGTATAATATATATAATATTATATACATAAAAATTACTTTAAATTTGATAAAAGCTTTGATTCAAATGTTTACATTTATTTTTATAGAAATTTCATGGTACAAATTTATTGTCATTTAATGTACAGCTTCAATAAAAATAAAGGAAAATAGTAGTTATAGTTTATAGTTGTTGTTTGTACTAAACTGCAGCAAAAATACATTTTCTATCACTCGATTTTGAAGAATAAAAACAAGAAGAAAAAGTACTACATTGTTTACATACCCTTAAAGCTAAAGGTTAAGTTGAAATGTGTTGCGTTTTTAGCAAACGGAAAAGGTTAAAGTAAAATTTGTAATATATTTAAATACTTTTAAAGGTTATGTGTTCAAATTTTTAGCTTATTTATATAAGATTACGTAATGCGAACTGTAGGCAGGTAGTTAAAATTTGTTATGTCTACACCTCCCCAGGGTGTTAAAATACTCAAAACACATCAAAGATTCCGACTGCTATCATTTAAACTACTAACAATAGTACTTAAAGCTTCAAATTACGTCCTGAAACATGATTAAATTTTATAGTCTTTTTTTTTTTATTATTTTTAAAAATATTTATGAAACTATCAGTTATAATACAAATAATAATAATAATCATTATTTCATTTTTACAAATAATAAATCAGTTTTAACGTATATTTATTATATGATTTTATAGATAATGAAAAAAATCAATGTTTTAAGAATGAAGAATTCCTCAATTAATCTATCATTTTGCAAACTTCCATCATTCGAGGATCGTTTATTTTTAAATAAAATGAGAAATTTCATAAGCAGGTAGGAAGCTTATTATAATTTTATTAAAATGAAAAATTTTTCAATCATCACGCTGTATAGAGACGAATTTTGTGATTTATATAGTTTTTATTGATATTAGAATCAATAACTTAATCCAATTTCATACAACTTGCATAAAATTTGATATATAGCTATACTAATATAGTAATAAATTATCTTGGACAAGCAATATTTTTAAAGGTACATTGTCTGATAGTTTGTAAAGGTCGTGAAATAATCTACTATACTAATACATCTCGAAAATTTTCGCTCTGGTGAACAAATTATGTACGAACAATAATCGATTTTATAATTTATTCAAGAAGAGGATTCAAAATGTTCGTCCGTTAAATTAGCAATGTAAAATAAAAGTTATGAATTATAATTCTCTTTTGTTTCTGTGATATTCTCTTGCAGGTATTTAGAGGAACGTTCGAAAGTTTGTCCTGAAGTAATGCATTTTGTCACCCCAGAAATGTATTTACCACCCTTTACCGCATAGTTTTGTGTTGAAGATTTTTGTTTACGATATTTTATTTATGAACTCGCAGTTGAGTAGTTAAAATTTGTTATATTTACATATCTTCAGGGAGTTAAAATACTTAAGACTTATTAAACTATCACTAAACTAACCGACTACCATCGTTCAATACTTAATACTCATAAAAGTTGGAATGATAATTTGGAAAATTCTCAATTAAGTATTAATATTTAGATATATTTGTCCATAATTTATTGCTTGAAAATTCAAATTGATCGATTTATCACGTTTTTATTGACGGAAAATTATAAATCTCTACAGGATTATAGCTATAACTTTCTGCTTTATCACGTTATATTATACAGCAGTTTTATGAAAAAGAAACCAACGTTTTGCAGTATTTATATATAATTTTTACAATATATAAATACGGTGTTCCAAGATATAAAGTAATAGGCCTATATTTTTTCACAGCAACAATAATCTGAAAATTGGCCTTTGATAAACTATATAATCGTTGTTGACGAGTAAAGATTCGAAAATATTTTTATGTGATGCATTATTTTTTATTTAAACAATTTACAGTTAGATTACTTAAATTATATAGTTAAAATATAATTTTAATATACCTTTCTTGATGAGTGTAATAAAAGAGAATATTGATATTGTTTGGACATTAAAAATAGAAAATTATAGTAATAATAAAATAGTTTATTTATAAATTATATTTTGTTTTCTGTCTAATGATAGCTTTTATTTTTTTAGTACAACATATAATCAAGAAATACGATATAATTTGAAACCTATATAATCCTAGATCAACGTAAGATTATAGTCTTTCCTTTATAGATTTTATTCTTGATATAAATCGTGTACAATTTCCTATTGCTGTTGTAATTTGAAAAACTTTTATTCCATTATATATATATTATATATTTATATACATAATACAAATCATAATAAATAACATAGAGATTTATTTAGGTACAAGCATATATAAACGTATATATACTCAAACTATACATTAAATAGGTAGAATAAAATGTAATTTTCATCATAATTACAATTTGTATTTATTTTATTAAAGCAATAATTAGTTTTATGTGCAAGTTTTGATGCTTGAATAGAAATTTATTTGAAAAATAATCTAATAACGCTTAACGTATTGTCTCTACAGGGTTATTTTTTTAACTTTCTATTTGGTTCAAGCGCCCTAGATTTAATAAATAAAGAAATAAAATAGAATAAAAACAAGATTATTTCCATTTTAGAATTTTAATAATATATACTTATATTCTGATGTGCTTAAATTTTAAATTTGCACTGTAATACAGTTAAATTAGGTTAAGGAATAATTACAAAGAAATTGTGTACATTATCATTTCTTCAATTATTTAACAAAAAGTAGCAAATTATAAATTTCTCTATAAACTTCCTAACTCTACGTACATCACAAAAGCATCGTCTTCACTCTCAACCTAATTGTTTTCACATTATGAAACACAAAAAATGAAAGAAAGAAAGAAATTCGTCATCCTGTCAAACTCGATATCTAATCTCTTCCTACTCGGTGTAGAAGTTACATAATTTAAACTAGAAGAGATGTCTCACTAACGATTTCTCATTTCCATGTGTAAATTATTGCACATTCTTAATAAATTTAAAATATTTTTGATTATTTAAATGTTTTTCCGATGCATAACGTGTTTAGATAATAAGTTGTATTTAATGACAGCGATAATTTGAAGTTCAATTTTAAAAAATTAAATAATTTAGTCAATAATATTCAATATTCAAATAATTACTTATAACGTTTATTTACATTGAATGTGTTATAATACTGCAGTAATAATATTTTAATTTTAAGAAGTTTTATGATAATATTAATATTAATTTCATCATTTTTTTGTACTTGTGAAAGCATAGCGATGCTTTTTACATCAAAAGATCGAAGTTTTATCTATAAATAACTATTGCATAATTTATATAACTTTATAATAGATCAATAAATATTCGCAATCTTTATCATCACCATCATTAGCATAGTTATGGTTATTTATTTCTTCTTAATTACGAATTAATTTTGAAATAAGTTACTTCACAGACAAAAATTAGCTTATACGTATTGAATGCTTAAATAAAAATTCATTAATATAAAAATCAGATATTATAAACTTCATTTGTAATACAACAATAATTTATCAGTAAATGTAAAAAAAAATAAATATAAATAATAATAAAAATAAAAATGATTTATTTTCAGAAAAATGTTTAGATAAGTCATTTTTATCATCATCTTTCTGCAACAAGGGAGGATATTTTCAATAGATTGGATTATTTTGAAAAAGGAATACAAAAATTTAAAGATAAGTTTAATTACTGTATAAACTTTAAAAGAAACTAAAAGTATTTTTTGTACTATTTTCTAATAATGTATTCGATTTACAAGCCCCTTACAATCATATCGAAAGACATGAATCTTGAACACAATTGTTCTAGATAAAATTACCTGGTTGTGGAAGAACTTAAATCATGATTTCGATATAATGGAAGATAGTATAACAGATGTTACGACAACAGGAAACAGCAATCTAACCAAAAGCACGATCAAATGGTGATAGATTATGTACTGCGGCAGGAATTTACGAATTATTACAACGAAACTATGCGAAGCTAAATTTTCTCTCCAAAAGTTCAGATTTAAAAAGTGTAATGTCAAGAAACAATTATTTAAAATACAAAAGATGGGTGTATCGGGCGTGATTAATGAGTTTACATCATTTAAAATTTTCAGGATTAGAGGAAAAAAACTCTCACGAAACTCAAACAAGAATTTAAAAATCCTATCACGGCTCCATTACCTGGAAGGAAAAGGATTAAAAGTTAGTTTAAAAATAATCTGGGGATTAAAAATTGAAGGCTTTGTCTAAGAGAAAGCAATGGGGAAATATATGTAAATATATATCTGCTCGAAAACAGATTTGTTAGGAAGTTTTTGAGGAAAAAAAAAATTATACAAATAAAAATTGTAGAAGTTAATTTGGAAATGAGATGTAAACAGTTTGAAAAATTATTTTCGTCTTTCAAATGAATATAGTATGTGGGAGAATTCTCATATGGACATAAAAAAATTCATTTAAAGAAAGTAAAGTTTGTTTGATTGAAAGAAATAAAAGCAGTCATTTGAAAGTGTAACGGCTCTAACTTTATATATTATTCTTAGTAAGGAAGTCGTTTGCCACGTGAATGGGTTGAAGGTTTTGATTTGAAATATTATATCGATCTCAAATGTCATTAGAGTAAGATCGATTCGTATGTGATATTCTATTACAAATTACTTTTTTATTTTTTTAATTCTGATATGAAGAATAATATTGTATAATCTAAAACGTTCCCTTTTATAAATTATCGATCTCAATTTTCTGTAATGTTCACGTAACGTTGATCTTTCAAGAATGGAACGGATTCCTTGAAACATTTTTCAATATTCTTGGGTTCGAATTACTATTTGAAAATTATAAATTTTATTTCGTAACTAGAATTTATAGTTTATTTTTTAAATATTATAATGGATACATTCTATAGTTAAAGAAAATTAATTAATAATTTATTTATTTATTACTTTACCGGCTCTGTTATATATAATAGAGGAAAAGTATGGACTTAGAACACCTTGAAACGTCGAGAAATGCAAACAAATTCGGGGTTAATTTCTGTATGTATAAATGTTGATGTGTATGGGGTACACGGCTTTGTTCATCCTCTTTGAAACTTAATAACTCCAGTGTCTTTTGTCATAATTTTCTGAAATTTTGCAGGGAGGTTTGTGTATTAGGGGATTAGTGCTATTAAATTTTGGGAGTTAAAGGTCGAGAGGGGAGATAAAGGGAAACGTGTGTCGTATCTCAATGGCGATTTTACTCGTTATTAGCATTTAAAATTGTTTATGAAACGCGTCCCTACCCTCAAAATTAATTTTTTTTGCAATTTTATAATAATTAAAATTATATAAAAAGTTTTTAAAATAAAATATCACAACAGGTGGCGCCACCAAAATTTTAAATGTTGCCGGGAAAGTTAAGCAACTCGTTGCAGGATTTTTAAAATGGAAATAGTGGAAGTACTTTTAAAGAGAAGCCATCTTGTGTTCCAATACGATCAGATACGCTCTTAAAATAATATTTTATAAATTCGTTAATAAAGTTTTTTAAGTACAGAAATGATTCTTAGCGTCCTTTAAACGTGTATTTATTTAATATTTTTAGGATTATTAGCATTATAATATTTTCATTTCTTTAGAGAAAATTTATTTACTTACTTATAATAACAAAGAATGTAAAATGTCAATATTATATAATAAACAGAATTACAGTGTTAAATTATCAATTAGTTTAATATTCTAGAACTTTAAGTTTATTTTCTTTTTACATATACTAATTAAATTTTGAAATAATCAATCATTAACGAACCGCTTGTTGATTAATTAGAATGTATTACGGTTAATTGCAGAGTATCTACTTCGAATTTATTTTGGACGTCGACGAGATCCGACTGGAGATTAAGTATAATATTTTAATATGAATGATTTATTAAATATAACTTTTCATTTTTCATAATTTTGATGATATATGCTTAATGAAGCAAGTTTATTTATCACTATTTCGAATTTTTATTAATATTTTCCGATCATTTGCAGGTTAAATACGATTTAAATTAGAAGCTGCTCAATAAAATTCGATGTTAAACAACTGCAGTATTTTACTTAAAACCTTTTAAAGCTATGATAATCAATTATTAAACGTTTTCTCTCAGATTAATTATGAATGATATATGAAGATGGAGTTATATCAAATCACGGCGCCATCTTGTAAACCTACGAGACCGGATGCTATGAATGTATTCAACTGAAGTAGTAACGTGTAACGATGCGCAGTTATCACATTTCACAGATTATCCACAGTCTGCTGAGATATTTCTCATGGGTCCAATAACCATGAATATTTAATATGGCATTTGTTGCTCTCTTTTAATATACAGATGCGATTGTTATGACTTATGAGAATTGAAGCGCTACTTTCCATGAATGATTTGCCTATTATTTTATAGTCTGTTATAAACGTAAGTATAGGCCGCATGTTTAAAAATAAATTCAATAATTATAATTATCTTCTCACTATATACAGTATATATTTCACTGCATGAAGTAGAAGTAGATCAAGTATTTGAAACATTAATTATTTCCCGAAGTAAACGTTGCATTTTTCAAGTTAGAATTAAATATTTATGTCCAAAAGTCCTAGGAACATCTAGAATATTTAATAAGTTTAACACGAGGGTGTGGCAAAGGTCGTTCAGGAAATATATTTAAAGATAAACTTAAGTAAAATTACAAGATAATTTTTACTGATTTTTTTAAGAATATGTTTTCATGTTTGAAGTAAGTATATAAATTATGGTTTCATTATTTTATTTAAAAATAGACTTAAGTTTTAAAATAATCTCCAAATCGTTTCTCCTGAAAATAAAACTTATTCCTGTAAGAAAAAAAAATTATATTTTATTTCGTTTTTTAGTTTTTCTCTTTCAAATCATTTTTTATATAAAATACAATAAATCTATTTTTCATCGTGAAGTTAAAATCACATTTTATTCATTTTTTTATTTTTTGTTCGCACAAATAATAATTTAGATCTCGAAATTGGAAAAATTCATTTTAAATGATGCATTGCGGGTTTCTTTTTTGATAAATGCCTTGCATTGATAATCGCTAAGAATCTCATTAGTCACAAAATCTTTAATTTCTTTATAGATATATAATAATAATCTATCATTATCTCTATTTAACTTATTTATTTTTCTATAGTCATATTAATTATTATGACCGCTTCCATTGTTTTCTATTGTACTGTACTTTCGAACGTCTTGAGTATATTCTGTTCCTCTTAATACAAGACCTACCTAGTTCCTCTTTCTTTCAGACAACATAAGAAAGTATTGGATATATTGTTTTTACGAAAAAATCAATATCGAAATTTCTTAAATAAACGTTTGAAGTTCCTGAACGGTGGTCGAATTAGTTTGAAGATGTCAATGTATCTGTTTGCTCTTCGTATTTATCTGTTATCATTATATGAATTTAATATAGGTGAAAGATAGCAATTGTGATATCGCTAGTTTGTTATCTTTACAATGTAGTAATTGCCAATTTCTATACAATCTAATACTGGAAATAATTGGCAATTTTGTTGTCTTTCGTGTTGCACTCGTATCCATTAAGCAGAAATTGTCGCTAACGTTTTAAATATGTAACAGCGATGCTAACAATAAATTCAACTAATGTATTCTTCATTATAAAGTTTTTAAAATTAATTTTAGTTCAGGTAATATGATAGTTAATTATAAGAATAACGCAAACATTATTTTTACATCAGGCAAAAGTCAACGATACATAATTTATGAACAGAAAATCTCTGTTTAAAGACAACTAATTGGTACTAAATTGAGATCTTGTAAGAATATTTTAATGGTTACTAATATTATTCAGAGAACTGTGTTTGTTTCTCTTACTAATAATTAACTATGTAACCTGCAGGCAAATTAAATTAAGCAAATTTAGCAGCAAGTTGTGATATTGAACTTACAGTAGGATCCATTAAGCATATGTATATATATATATCTAACTATTAAACATGGAAATGATTATATTTAAGTGAAGTAGTGACTTATTAATTATTAATTTAGTCAGAGTAATTGGCAAATTCTAAATTATTATTATAATCTAGAATTTTGTCAATTAATCTCTCATATTACATGCTGATTGAAAATTGGTGGTTCATGAAAAGGAAATTGAAAGAAAATCTCTTCTTTACTAGAAAAGCTGCTTTGAAAGTACTAAAACATAAGGAGAAGAGCTTTGTTTTTGGTAATATATTGGTTGTGCAGCTAGGATCTGATTTACTGCGATATATTGGATCATAAAGTAGGATGATCATAAACCCAATCTGTGAGAGCTGGTCACTTTCCTGAATACTTATGTGACAAGATTGTAGCCAGCTCTAATTATCTGTTTACTAAAAGAGATGTTGAAATTAATAAGAAAACAAAGAATTAATTAATGGTAATGATCAATATATTTCATTTGAAGTTAGAATAATTAGAATATATGCAAGAAAGATTTATGTATAGCAGCAGTTTTGTAAAATTTAATTGTAATTTTTGAGGTCATTTGATTTCAATATTCAGCTATCAATCTATTGAGGCGTAAATTAGACCGGAGATAGATAAAATTTAGTTAGTTATATCAACTGACAAAAATTTGATAATAATTAATTCTTTAAATGGTAAATGTCTGAGAAGGTTGTACAAAAGCAGCTTACGAATCATATTACTAGATAAGTTTGTTCTTATATAAATGATATTATCTCCGAAATGAAACATTAAGATATCAATTTTCTCAATAAGAAAAACTATGATTTATATAATAATAATAATAATAAAAAGAAAAAATACTGTTACTATCAATTTACTAATGCGATTTTATCCTAGACAATAGATTACAATTTATTTTGTACAGGACTTGTACAAGAGAAATGTTGGAAAACAGCAGTCATATTCGAAATTTGTAAGGCGAATATAAATATTTTCAGATAATTTTATTATATTTAACTATCTTTAAATTAGCTGTATTACTTAATAAATTATGAAATTATAATGAATGTTTAAATTAATATATGAAACCGTTTACTAGATCAAAGATAAAGCACGTATGAATTTCATGTTTAAAATTTCCAGAATAAATTTAATATCTTCCATTCAAATAATCTAATTTACTCTATGTCATTATAAAATTAATTACAATATATAACGTTACTAAACCGGAATTTATGTAATCTATATAAATATAAAATTGTTTCTTATACGCTATAACAATAAAAATTCAAGAAAGTAATATTTACAAAAGTGAATTTTCTGGAATTTTTTTTATCATCTTCCAAAACGGAAAGACTTTAGTTTTCTTATAAAAAAAAAGACGTCATTTACTATCCTGTGTAGCCATTAAAAATTCCTTTATGATCTCTAAAGTTTTTCTCCATTATACACGCCGTTGTTTATTGCTATTTTGCCATCGAGTGATACGTTTCAGAAAATAAACATCATCAAATAAAGAATTTTAAAAAAAGAAAACAATTTTAAAAGCAATAATAGTAGATAAAATACTACAAATAATTTATTCGTACTTCCACGTTGAGTTTACTCGTCATTTTTCGATTGGTATACTCATTTTTTACGTAGGAGTACGTTTTATTGTTAATAAAATAATTTAACAGAAAATCTTCGAGAAGATTGTTTTTTACACATTTATTGAAATTTCAAAAGTCCTATATTAAATTTAAAATGTGCTCTATTTTTGCTTGTAGTTCACTTTAAAAAGTAATAAAGTAATCAAATCTTTTTATGTCTGAATAGTTGAATACGATGTTAAACTTTCAGAAATACATTAAGTTGGCTACCTACATAACTTGTTCAAACAAATGCAGATCTAATAAAAATATATAATTTAGTGGCTGGAATAAAACTGGTGGATTAACACTCAAAATATTGAAATTGTAAAAGAAATGCCTCTCCATTAAAACATTTCTTTACAGTTACATACAGTATACATTTTATACAGTGACAAAATCCACATAACTAGATATGAAAGTCTCGTTTTATGTATGTATGTGCACATACATAAAATGAGGCAAATATTTGTAAGATAAAAATAAGCATTACAATGAAAGTGATAAAATAATTTTCAAAATAAAATAGCTTAATCTGAAATTCTTTATCTATATTTCTGATAAACACGTTTATTGATTTGAATAAAAAAAATTAAATAAATAAATTTTTCTAAGAAAATGAAACTCTAGATTCATTACACTTGCTTATTTTTTAGTTCATAAATCATTATTCTTATACAAAAAACTTATTTTTTATCATTGAATATTTAAAATCCTATATATGATATAAAAATAATTATACAGTTGATTAATATGTTAAGAAGTTAACGAATCTTCTATTCTTCTAGGCAAAACACTAAGAAAAATGTTAACAGAGTAATTATTTTATTTTAATAAAACATAATCATCGTTAGAATTTTATAATACTTTATATTTATTATACTGCTTTTTTCAAATACTCATTTTATTGTTTTATTTTTCAGTAATTATAAATCATCATCGAGCCATAAATCAGAATTCAGTAAGTAATTGCACATTTCCTATTATAACTGTAGTAATTTGTCTTTTTTAAAAATTAATTATAATAGAAAAAAATGAGGCATTTTATTTTGAGCTTTTCTTTTTGTTAGGATTATTTAATACAGTAAATGATACGTAAGATTCAGTTTATTCAGTTATCAGGATCCATCTGAAATTTCTCATAATGCTAATTGTAGTCATCTACTTTTTATAAAGAGCGTGCACAGGTCTATCTATTCGAATTCATCCTATTTGTGTCTAATATATAGTGGTGCCTCGTATAACGTACTTAATCCGTTCCAGGTGCACGTCAAGTGGAAAGTCTGTTATACGAAACGCATTTTCCCACAGAAATACGTGTTAAAACATATAATTCGTTCCGCAGCATAAAATAACCGTACTGTACCATTAAAAAAATGAAAATGGAGCAGTCACCAATTATGCCGGGTAGTCAGATGTTGTGAGGAGGATGTGGAGGAACACTTTCTTCATACATTCATACAGATACAGCCTTTTTACACATTGCAGCAGGTCTCTTTTTATTGTTTTTTAATCGGAGTGAGATTCAGGAGAGGCTACCGGAGCTTGCAGGGTCATCTCCTCTTGTTCATCCTTTGTTTTTTGGCATCTTGCTTCTTGAAAAACATGTCCAAGGTGGTCTGTTTCTCTCTCTTCTTCAACACCTGTCGGAAATGACGGGCAAGCGTGTCATTGTAGAGATCATTGATCCTGTTGGCCTCAGCTCTATTTGGATAATGAGTGTTGGTAAACTCCTGAACCTCTCACCATTTGACAAGGAAGTTTTTGTCAACTTTCACTCCTTCTGATGATTTCTTGCTTTGTTTCAATTGAAATCACATTTCTGTTTTTTTTAGAAGCCATGATTTGCACAACACTTGAATAAATGTAAATACCCTGCACTGAGGTGATGTACGTAATAAACAAGGGAGCAAGCCGAATCCCAACGGGAGCTCTGTACTTCAGATATACTAATAATATATTCTAATAATACTAATATATTATAAAAATAGCAGATTGTCATTGGCAACGGCAAAAGAGTGAAAATATCATTCGCACTTGTTCGCAGAAAGTTTGTTTTTCGCCTCACGTAACGGCCAAACAGAAAGTCCGTTCTTCGCAGCGTCCGTTATTCGAGGCGTACGTTATGAGGCACCACTGTATTATTATAGAGTATGCAACTCACAAATATGTTATCCCAACAACCTATACACTATTCCTTAAAGCTAGTATTTTTTTTTAGTAAACTTATTTTAACAAACAAAGTAAAATTTCATATTTTTAAAGAAAAATAATAATAGTTTGTGATAAAAATAATATATCTTAGAAAATAGATTTATGATCATTAATAATTCATAAAATATCGATTCAAGTTCCATATTCAAGAGAAACATCCATCATTAATCTTTTAAAAAATTTTGAATTCTGTATATATAACATTCTCAAAAAATAAAAAAGAGGAAAGGGAACATAATAAGACATAATCCATATTACAAATTTTTTTAGTACTGAAATAACAAAGTAAATATTAAATCTAATCCTAGCAAACAATATCTATACAATTATTTACAACCAAAGAGAAAATATTAAAAATTTATAATACAAAGATAAAATTACATAAAAATTAATTAAGTGAATATTTCAAATTTTTCAGTTCTTATTTAACATTAAAACTTTATAATAATGTTAAATTTTATTTATAACGATATTATAAATTTAATTTATTGTTATATTTATGTGCATATGTGTATGTATAACAATTTTCTTCCTCATTCTTAGACTTGTCAGTGCAGGGACGCATAAAATTGAATTCCCACAAGTGCCTTTCAAATATATTTTGCTTTGTTGGAAGTCCTGACTACCAGTTCGATGACGATGTTCGATTTCGAATCTTGACTTGCCATTACTCCCGAAAATTCTTGAAAAATTTTTCTTTTAATAGTCTTGTTATCAGGAAAAAAAAATTCACATTTATAATGGGTTAAAATTGTACAAGAAACAATTATTACAACTTTCGAGGAATCGAAATTTTGAGAAATTTTAGATAGATCCACGCAATGAAGTAAGCTAAATCTCACGCAATTACTGATTTACTTTCTAGAAATACATTATTATAGAATGTTATATCGTAAATATACAATATATAAAGAGGCAAAAATTATCTATTTCTGGAAATTAATAAAAATTCATTCTATAAATATGTATTTTCTGGAATGAATTTTATTAATGTATAGGTACAGTGCTTTCTATATAAGCTACATAACTAACTATTTGTCTAGAAAATATATATTTCTGGAATTAATAACGTAAATTCTTTAATTGTTGATTTATACATTCTAGAAATTTGTATGCAATTTTTCTAGAAAATATAAATGAAAATATAAACACTAAAAAAGTCATTATATTNTGTGTGTATCTCCAGTGGGATCGGACTTAATGATGATTTTATTCGTTATTAGCATTTACATTTTTTTATAAAACTCATCCCTACCGTCAAAATTAACGTTTTTGCCGTTTATAATAGTTAAAAATATAAAAAGGTGTTTTTAAGAAAATATAATAACAGGTGGCGCCACCAAAATTTTAAATGTTGCCGGGAAAGTTAAGCAACTCGTTGCAGGATTTTTAAAATGGAAATAGTGGAAGTACTTTTAAAGAGAAGCCATCTTGTGTTCCAATACGATCAGATACGCTCTTAAAATAATATTTTATAAATTCGTTAATAAAGTTTTTTAAGTACAGAAATGATTCTTAGCGTCCTTTAAACGTGTATTTATTTAATATTTTTAGGATTATTAGCATTATAATATTTTCATTTCTTTAGAGAAAATTTATTTACTTACTTATAATAACAAAGAATGTAAAATGTCAATATTATATAATAAACAGAATTACAGTGTTAAATTATCAATTAGTTTAATATTCTAGAACTTTAAGTTTATTTTCTTTTTACATATACTAATTAAATTTTGAAATAATCAATCATTAACGAACCGCTTGTTGATTAATTAGAATGTATTACGGTTAATTGCAGAGTATCTACTTCGAATTTATTTTGGACGTCGACGAGATCCGACTGGAGATTAAGTATAATATTTTAATATGAATGATTTATTAAATATAACTTTTCATTTTTCATAATTTTGATGATATATGCTTAATGAAGCAAGTTTATTTATCACTATTTCGAATTTTTATTAATATTTTCCGATCATTTGCAGGTTAAATACGATTTAAATTAGAAGCTGCTCAATAAAATTCGATGTTAAACAACTGCAGTATTTTACTTAAAACCTTTTAAAGCTATGATAATCAATTATTAAACGTTTTCTCTCAGATTAATTATGAATGATATATGAAGATGGAGTTATATCAAATCACGGCGCCATCTTGTAAACCTACGAGACCGGATGCTATGAATGTATTCAACTGAAGTAGTAACGTGTAACGATGCGCAGTTATCACATTTCACAGATTATCCACAGTCTGCTGAGATATTTCTCATGGGTCCAATAACCATGAATATTTAATATGGCATTTGTTGCTCTCTTTTAACATACAGATGCGATTGTTATGACTTATGAGAATTGAAGCGCTACTTTCCATGAATGATTTGCCTATTATTTTATAGTCTGTTATAAACGTAAGTATAGGCCGCATGTTTAAAAATAAATTCAATAATTATAATTATCTTCTCACTATATACAGTATATATTTCACTGCATGAAGTAGAAGTAGATCAAGTATTTGAAACATTAATTATTTCCCGAAGTAAACGTTGCATTTTTCAAGTTAGAATTAAATATTTATGTCCAAAAGTCCTAGGAACATCTAGAATATTTAATAAGTTTAACACGAGGGTGTGGCAAAGGTCGTTCAGGAAATATATTTAAAGATAAACTTAAGTAAAATTACAAGATAATTTTTACTGATTTTTTTAAGAATATGTTTTCATGTTTGAAGTAAGTATATAAATTATGGTTTCATTATTTTATTTAAAAATAGACTTAAGTTTTAAAATAATCTCCAAATCGTTTCTCCTGAAAATAAAACTTATTCCTGTAAGAAAAAAAAATTATATTTTATTTCGTTTTTTAGTTTTTCTCTTTCAAATCATTTTTTATATAAAATACAATAAATCTATTTTTCATCGTGAAGTTAAAATCACATTTTATTCATTTTTTTATTTTTTGTTCGCACAAATAATAATTTAGATCTCGAAATTGGAAAAATTCATTTTAAATGATGCATTGCGGGTTTCTTTTTTGATAAATGCCTTGCATTGATAATCGCTAAGAATCTCATTAGTCACAAAATCTTTAATTTCTTTATAGATATATAATAATAATCTATCATTATCTCTATTTAACTTATTTATTTTTCTATAGTCATATTAATTATTATGACCGCTTCCATTGTTTTCTATTGTACTGTACTTTCGAACGTCTTGAGTATATTCTGTTCCTCTTAATACAAGACCTACCTAGTTCCTCTTTCTTTCAGACAACATAAGAAAGTATTGGATATATTGTTTTTACGAAAAAATCAATATCGAAATTTCTTAAATAAACGTTTGAAGTTCCTGAACGGTGGTCGAATTAGTTTGAAGATGTCAATGTATCTGTTTGCTCTTCGTATTTATCTGTTATCATTATATGAATTTAATATATGTGAAAGATAGCAATTGTGATATCGCTAGTTTGTTATCTTTACAATGTAGTAATTGCCAATTTCTATACAATCTAATACTGGAAATAATTGGCAATTTTGTTGTCTTTCGTGTTGCACTCGTATCCATTAAGCAGAAATTGTCGCTAACGTTTTAAATATGTAACAGCGATGCTAACAATAAATTCAACTAATGTATTCTTCATTATAAAGTTTTTAAAATTAATTTTAGTTCAGGTAATATGATAGTTAATTATAAGAATAACGCAAACATTATTTTTACATCAGGCAAAAGTCAACGATACATAATTTATGAACAGAAAATCTCTGTTTAAAGACAACTAATTGGTACTAAATTGAGATCTTGTAAGAATATTTTAATGGTTACTAATATTATTCAGAGAACTGTGTTTGTTTCTCTTACTAATAATTAACTATGTAACCTGCAGGCAAATTAAATTAAGCAAATTTAGCAGCAAGTTGTGATATTGAACTTACAGTAGGATCCATTAAGCATATGTATATATATATATCTAACTATTAAACATGGAAATGATTATATTTAAGTGAAGTAGTGACTTATTAATTATTAATTTAGTCAGAGTAATTGGCAAATTCTAAATTATTATTATAATCTAGAATTTTGTCAATTAATCTCTCATATTACATGCTGATTGAAAATTGGTGGTTCATGAAAAGGAAATTGAAAGAAAATCTCTTCTTTACTAGAAAAGCTGCTTTGAAAGTACTAAAACATAAGGAGAAGAGCTTTGTTTTTGGTAATATATTGGTTGTGCAGCTAGGATCTGATTTACTGCGATATATTGGATCATAAAATAGGATGATCATAAACCCAATCTGTGAGAGCTGGTCACTTTCCTGAATACTTATGTGACAAGATTGTAGCCAGCTCTAATTATCTGTTTACTAAAAGAGATGTTGAAATTAATAAGAAAACAAAGAATTAATTAATGGTAATGATCAATATATTTCATTTGAAGTTAGAATAATTAGAATATATGCAAGAAAGATTTATGTATAGCAGCAGTTTTGTAAAATTTAATTGTAATTTTTGAGGTCATTTGATTTCAATATTCAGCAATCAATCTATTGAGGCGTAAATTAGACCGGAGATAGATAAAATTTAGTTAGTTATATCAACTGACAAAAATTTGATAATAATTAATTCTTTAAATGGTAAATGTCTGAGAAGGTTGTACAAAAGCAGCTTACGAATCATATTACTAGATAAGTTTGTTCTTATATAAATGATATTATCTCCGAAATGAAACATTAAGATATCAATTTTCTCAATAAGAAAAACTATGATTTATATAATAATAATAATAATAAAAAGAAAAAATACTGTTACTATCAATTTACTAATGCGATTTTATCCTAGACAATAGATTACAATTTATTTTGTACAGGACTTGTACAAGAGAAATGTTGGAAAACAGCAGTCATATTCGAAATTTGTAAGGCGAATATAAATATTTTCAGATAATTTTATTATATTTAACTATCTTTAAATTAGCTGTATTACTTAATAAATTATGAAATTATAATGAATGTTTAAATTAATATATGAAACCGTTTACTAGATCAAAGATAAAGCACGTATGAATTTCATGTTTAAAATTTCCAGAATAAATTTAATATCTTCCATTCAAATAATCTAATTTACTCTATGTCATTATAAAATTAATTACAATATATAACGTTACTAAACCGGAATTTATGTAATCTATATAAATATAAAATTGTTTCTTATACGCTATAACAATAAAAATTCAAGAAAGTAATATTTACAAAAGTGAATTTTCTGGAATTTTTTTTATCATCTTCCAAAACGGAAAGACTTTAGTTTTCTTATAAAAAAAAAGACGTCATTTACTATCCTGTGTAGCCATTAAAAATTCCTTTATGATCTCTAAAGTTTTTCTCCATTATACACGCCGTTGTTTATTGCTATTTTGCCATCGAGTGATACGTTTCAGAAAATAAACATCATCAAATAAAGAATTTTAAAAAAAGAAAACAATTTTAAAAGCAATAATAGTAGATAAAATACTACAAATAATTTATTCGTACTTCCACGTTGAGTTTACTCGTCATTTTTCGATTGGTATACTCATTTTTTACGTAGGAGTACGTTTTATTGTTAATAAAATAATTTAACAGAAAATCTTCGAGAAGATTGTTTTTTACACATTTATTGAAATTTCAAAAGTCCTATATTAAATTTAAAATGTGCTCTATTTTTGCTTGTAGTTCACTTTAAAAAGTAATAAAGTAATCAAATCTTTTTATGTCTGAATAGTTGAATACGATGTTAAACTTTCAGAAATACATTAAGTTGGCTACCTACATAACTTGTTCAAACAAATGCAGATCTAATAAAAATATATAATTTAGTGGCTGGAATAAAACTGGTGGATTAACACTCAAAATATTGAAATTGTAAAAGAAATGCCTCTCCATTAAAACATTTCTTTACAGTTACATACAGTATACATTTTATACAGTGACAAAATCCACATAACTAGATATGAAAGTCTCGTTTTATGTATGTATGTGCACATACATAAAATGAGGCAAATATTTGTAAGATAAAAATAAGCATTACAATGAAAGTGATAAAATAATTTTCAAAATAAAATAGCTTAATCTGAAATTCTTTATCTATATTTCTGATAAACACGTTTATTGATTTGAATAAAAAAAATTAAATAAATAAATTTTTCTAAGAAAATGAAACTCTAGATTCATTACACTTGCTTATTTTTTAGTTCATAAATCATTATTCTTATACAAAAAACTTATTTTTTATCATTGAATATTTAAAATCCTATATATGATATAAAAATAATTATACAGTTGATTAATATGTTAAGAAGTTAACGAATCTTCTATTCTTCTAGGCAAAACACTAAGAAAAATGTTAACAGAGTAATTATTTTATTTTAATAAAACATAATCATCGTTAGAATTTTATAATACTTTATATTTATTATACTGCTTTTTTCAAATACTCATTTTATTGTTTTATTTTTCAGTAATTATAAATCATCATCGAGCCATAAATCAGAATTCAGTAAGTAATTGCACATTTCCTATTATAACTGTAGTAATTTGTCTTTTTTAAAAATTAATTATAATAGAAAAAAATGAGGCATTTTATTTTGAGCTTTTCTTTTTGTTAGGATTATTTAATACAGTAAATGATACGTAAGATTCAGTTTATTCAGTTATCAGGATCCATCTGAAATTTCTCATAATGCTAATTGTAGTCATCTACTTTTTATAAAGAGCGTGCACAGGTCTATCTATTCGAATTCATCCTATTTGTGTCTAATATATAGTGGTGCCTCGTATAACGTACTTAATCCGTTCCAGGTGCACGTCAAGTGGAAAGTCTGTTATACGAAACGCATTTTCCCACAGAAATACGTGTTAAAACATATAATTCGTTCCGCAGCATAAAATAACCGTACTGTACCATTAAAAAAATGAAAATGGAGCAGTCACCAATTATGCCGGGTAGTCAGATGTTGTGAGGAGGATGTGGAGGAACACTTTCTTCATACATTCATACAGATACAGCCTTTTTACACATTGCAGCAGGTCTCTTTTTATTGTTTTTTAATCGGAGTGAGATTCAGGAGAGGCTACCGGAGCTTGCAGGGTCATCTCCTCTTGTTCATCCTTTGTTTTTTGGCATCTTGCTTCTTGAAAAACATGTCCAAGGTGGTCTGTTTCTCTCTCTTCTTCAACACCTGTCGGAAATGACGGGCAAGCGTGTCATTGTAGAGATCATTGATCCTGTTGGCCTCAGCTCTATTTGGATAATGAGTGTTGGTAAACTCCTGAACCTCTCACCATTTGACAAGGAAGTTTTTGTCAACTTTCACTCCTTCTGATGATTTCTTGCTTTGTTTCAATTGAAATCACATTTCTGTTTTTTTTAGAAGCCATGATTTGCACAACACTTGAATAAATGTAAATACTCTGCACTGAGGTGATGTACGTAATAAACAAGGGAGCAAGCCGAATCTCAACGGGAGCTCTGTACTTCAGATATACTAATAATATATTCTAATAATACTAATATATTATAAAAATAGCAGATTGTCATTGGCAACGGCAAAAGAGTGAAAATATCATTCGCACTTGTTCGCAGAAAGTTTGTTTTTCGCCTCACGTAACGGCCAAACAGAAAGTCCGTTCTTCGCAGCGTCCGTTATTCGAGGCGTACGTTATGAGGCACCACTGTATTATTATAGAGTATGCAACTCACAAATATGTTATCCCAACAACCTATACACTATTCCTTAAAGCTAGTATTTTTTTTAGTAAACTTATTTTAACAAACAAAGTAAAATTTCATATTTTTAAAGAAAAATAATAATAGTTTGTGATAAAAATAATATATCTTAGAAAATAGATTTATGATCATTAATAATTCATAAAATATCGATTCAAGTTCCATATTCAAGAGAAACATCCATCATTAATCTTTTAAAAAATTTTGAATTCTGTATATATAACATTCTCAAAAATAAAGAAGAGGAAAGGGAACATAATAAGACATAATCCATATTACAAATTTTTTTAGTACTGAAATAACAAAGTAAATATTAAATCTAATCCTAGCAAACAATATCTATACAATTATTTACAACCAAAGAGAAAATATTAAAAATTTATAATACAAAGATAAAATTACATAAAAATTAATTAAGTGAATATTTCAAATTTTTCAGTTCTTATTTAACATTAAAACTTTATAATAATGTTAAATTTTATTTATAACGATATTATAAATTTAATTTATTGTTATATTTATGTGCATATGTGTATGTATAACAATTTTCTTCCTCATTCTTAGACTTGTCAGTGCAGGGACGCATAAAATTGAATTCCCACAAGTGCCTTTCAAATATATTTTGCTTTGTTGGAAGTCCTGACTACCAGTTCGATGACGATGTTCGATTTCGAATCTTGACTTGCCATTACTCCCGAAAATTCTTGAAAAATTTTTCTTTTAATAGTCTTGTTATCAGGAAAAAAAAATTCACATTTATAATGGGTTAAAATTGTACAAGAAACAATTATTACAACTTTCGAGGAATCGAAATTTTGAGAAATTTTAGATAGATCCACGCAATGAAGTAAGCTAAATCTCACGCAATTACTGATTTACTTTCTAGAAATACATTATTATAGAATGTTATATCGTAAATATACAATATATAAAGAGGCAAAAATTATCTATTTCTGGAAATTAATAAAAATTCATTCTATAAATATGTATTTTCTGGAATGAATTTTATTAATGTATAGGTACAGTGCTTTCTATATAAGCTACATAACTAACTATTTGTCTAGAAAATATATATTTCTGGAATTAATAACGTAAATTCTTTAATTGTTGATTTATACATTCTAGAAATTTGTATGCAATTTTTCTAGAAAATATAAATGAAAATATAAACACTAAAAAAGTCATTATATTTCTTGATTGTTTTTAAAGAAATTGTAGATTTATTTTTATTATTTTATCTAAAATTCATTCAAGAAACTTATTTTTTTTCTTTATTATAATATCTACAAACAAAATTATCTCTTAAATATCTATTCAAGAATCTTTCCTTTTACTCTTTTAACTTAAAACATAATTTTTTCAAGAAAAAAAAAGAAAATTTGCATTTTCCTGCGGCGATTTTTTAATAATAATTTCTAAAAACAATGTTTAAAAAATAGATAAAAAAGAAAATTACTAAATTAATTTTACAAATCAGCAGGCAAACTAATTAGTGCGTAAGCGAGAAAGAACAATGAAGTGTTTTACATCACTCAATAGTAAAACTAATTAAAGCAATTCTTGTCTGCTTAATTAGACATTAGAAAAAATTATTTCAATTTTTTAATTTCTAAATTTTTTCAGACATTTATTTTTTATAAATTATCTCTTCTTTTTCCCTTTCAGTGATCTAGGAGCACGCGATGACAACTTTTGATTAGTGGCCTATCAAAAGAATGGTATCAATTTTAATATATTAATATTTTATGATACAATAAAATATAAACTGTATTTTTTTATTATAATTTTAAGAATTATTCAACAACAGAAAACCTACAAAATTGATATATTATTGTTGTTATTTTTAAACATTTATATCTGTAATGTTTACATATTTAAAGACTAAAAAGCTCAGTCATCTCCAAGCTAAGCTTTATAATATAATCTATTTATGTTAAAGAGATTTTTTAAAAAAATTTTTCTAAATGTTAAGATATAAATCAGCTTCCTTATGCTAGAACCGTTTCTAAAAATAGAATTTCATCTTTAAACGGGCGTAGAAATTTATTTTAATTCTACGCATTTCCGCATCGTTTAACATAAAAGATGACGTTAATGAGTAAAATTATACTGCTAATGATTTCTGTTTAAGATAAACATCTTATTAAGTAAATTATAAGTAGTATTTTCAGGCATTGAAAGTGTTAAGGTGCATATATAACAGCGACATTTTGATCTGATCAGCGATAAAGCGAGAATATCGCGTAAGTTAAAGCGATTCTTTTTTCCTAGTTTTTTTTTCCTGTAATTTAAGTATCTGAAAAAGAAATATTTCCCACCCCAAAAATCGAAATCAAAGAAATATTGTTTGTATTTTAAAGATGTTTTCTGGCATCATTCCAAAAACATTACCTTTAGTCGAGAGATAGAAAGAGACTGTTTGTCGCCAGCGATTCAAAAAATCGATACCGAGCAGATTCAAGTTTTTTTTTTTAAGTTCATCAAACCTAAATTTGAAGATTCATTTAGCATAAAAAAAGCATTATGTCATACAGAAATTACATAAATTGAATGTTATATTTTTTTTCAATTGAATCAATCTGTTTCTAATAAAGATAAAACTTATGGATGTAATTTGCATCCTTTAAATCGATTGTTACACCCGATGCATTGCGATGAGCGAAGGTTTTATTGCCAAGAAAAAACTCTAAATTTATATAATATACATTTACATTGATTAAAATCTAATAAAGAAAAAAGAAAATTTATAAAATAATTTTAAAAAATTAGATTTTAAAGCTAGCTTAAGCGCGAAAAAAGATATAGATCTGGGATATGTGAAGTTATGCTTTCGAGATTTTTTAAAGATTTATAAACATCTTTGCTGTAAATTTTAGCGGTTGTGAGATTTTAAAAAATAAGTCTCAAAAGGCAATTTTTTAAGTTGGAAAAAAGACAATTCCAATTTTTTAAATCTCGCCGAGGCGATTTTTCTAACAATATTTCAATTCCTCAGACTTACCAAAAATAGAAAATAGAAAAGAATTATATGCAGTGAAACAATATATCGATTGTTTAAGATATAAATAAATAAAATATCTATATTCTTTCGAAATAAACAAGTTAATGTTAGTATCTTTTGATTGTATTTTAATAAACATCTGCATTAAAAATAATATTTTAATAACTTTCAGAATATTACCTATAATAAAATAAAGAAGGTGTTTAACTGTCTAAATGTCACATTAATGTATATTTATTTACATGGCACATCACTCTAAAGACCCGAAGATTAAAGTTGAATCTGTTGTTATATATCATTGTTAACTTACAGACCGTTATAATGATTTATCTATGGATAATTAGTAATTATGCTGTAAGCTAGATTTACAAGAAATCCCAAATGACAATATATCTTTGCTGCATAAAAGTTTTAACCTTTATGATCTTATTATTTAGATTGAGGTCTGTTTATGATGCTATAATTTCGAATTTTTATCTGGACTGAACGTCATAAAAATTCCAGATCATTCAATGCAGCAAGAACTAAATTTATGAATAAAATTATTATGTCTTGTTGTCATTGTTATTCTTACACTTCAGGCAAATAAAAGAATAGAAAATAAATTGCGTGCTATAAAATTGTAATTTGCGTACGAAATTGTGATAGTTACATTTTAAAGTGGTATTATTTTGTTTAGAAGTTATTACAGTTATCTCTACACGTTCGACATATATTACGCTTGACAATACAGGAGTAATAATCTGTTTTGTGGTTTGCATTATGCAGAATATTCCATGAATTTTCTATATCCTGCATAAAAATATGATTCCGTGCGCATTCTTATGGATTCTATTAAAGAATATTTCATATATTTGAGCGTTACAAGTATAATTTAATTTAGAAAATGTCACTTAAAGTCATAGGTGCAATTGAGGCCTTGATTGAGTCATAGTTTTATACATATAACTAACCACAATTAATATATTTAATATAGAAATTTATATAACAATTAATATAGAAATTTAGAATTATATTTCTGAATTTTTCATTAATAAGATAAATTAATATATTATATATTTTTCCATAAATTAGAAAAGTAATATTTAACACTCTCATAAAAAGGATAGTTTATAATTGATATATAACATATAAAAATGGATGAATTAATTTCAAATTTGCAAAGATCAATAAAATGAATGTTGCATATAATTAATTCACATCGGTACTAGTAGAAAATTAAGAGCTTTAAACGAAATTTATAAATCAGGAAGAGAAATTATCAATTCAAACATAAACGGAAACGTTCCATTTCCCAGTGATAGATAATGCGAATTACATTCTGGAATGGTTTCGTAGGACGTACGAGACAAATGAATACCAAGCCTGCATTCTTTTCCTTCCAATTATGATTGTGATAAGTAAGAAAACTCATTTCTAATGTAATTTTCCTAGACACGTATCTTACTACACCGATCTAGGATAAATGTTAATCAAGTTATATTAGATTAAGGATTTAAGTTTATTGAATAATGATGATGTTGGTTTTATCCATGTCATGTTGAGTGACAAATAAGATCCGATCAGTTCTGAAAAAAAAAACTAAAAAAAATGGTTTTATTTTTTATTTTTTCAGAATTAATAGCATCCTTCGTAAATCTATAGTAAATAACTTCCTTAGAAGCAAATGATAAAAAATTATCAAAGATAAAAATAGAGGAAAGAAGTCAACTGTAACTATGTCCCAAAGGTAAATTAAGCTTGACTTTCATTTCCAGTTTTCTTACAATAAAAAATAATTCCTTTAAACTATCTTTATAATAATATAATACAAGTAATCTGCAATTAATAATTGAATATATACAATTTCTAATACAAAAAGTGTAACTAAGTTAAGTAGTCAAAATGTTTTTTAAATAATTATTTTTCCTAATTGTTTGTATCGCATATTACATTTCCAGTAATCAAATTAAAAGAAGCAACAATAATTTTCTATTTGTTTAAAACAATTTGATTAAATTATCATTAAATTAAAAGTACATAATTTACTTATTTTAAAATGACTNCAATAAATTACTGCCTTAATTTCATTTATTTGAGTGCGTTATCCATTCCATACCCACACCACTTTATCTCTATAATTTTGTTGAGGTTTCCTCACGTTTTATATTCATATCGCCGATCTCTATATCCATACACTATGTAATATTTTATAGTAGACTATTCTATCCCTCTATGTAATGTTATATGAATAAAATTACTTTTCTAGAAAACATAATCTTAATTTACATAGTATAAGACGTTTTGTTTAATAAAAATGAATTTTATTCTCATTTGTAAACATTATAAATTTCTATTGTTGCTTTTATTATTGTTATTACGTAATATTATAAAATATCCTGAAGTATAAATGATGATATATTATTCGTGTAGGACTTTGCAATGACATCTCATCAATAACGTGTTATATCATATCTCGAATGCAGCGTATATAATGCGGAATTTCCACTTAATTTAATATTAAATTGTTGTAATATGGCTTTAAATGATACCCTAAAGAGAATTTAACTATTCGCAGAACATATTAGAATTTATTTCCGTCGAGATTCATACGGATGAAAGGGAGTATCTATGGAGATTACCCACGAAAATAAGAGCTAAAAAAAGGTATATTTAGTACAAAGAGGCAACATCTGTAAGTTTATAAAAATATTAAAGTATCCAATATTTAATTTCTCTGCAAAGAAATTGCATGGTTTTGTATAATTAGTCTAATTAGATGAGACACTTTAGTTAAATGAAATCACGCTTTTCGTCTCATACCTTTTCATAAAATATGAAAAATGATATTCATAAAATTAAATTAAAGTAATTGTAGTTTACATTAAATTAAATTAAAATCTTTTTTCTTTTTTTTGAATTAATTACTTTAATAAATTAATTTTCCTCGCTTTCATTACAGCATTTCAATTAAAAGAAAAACATACGTTTGGAATCTGTAAATAGTAATAAATAATTTATTCCTTTTAATATATCTAAATTATGTTTGTATATCTGTTAGAGCTGGTTATTTAATTAACAGGCAATAAAATAAATTAACGAAAAATTAATAAATGATAAGTAAAAGAGATGTATTAGGATGATCCAGAGTATATATTCTGACTGATATATTCCCTGAAAGTTTCAGGTCCCTTGTAAAAGGCGTGGAAAATACGTTGCAGCAGCATTATGAATGGGGTTATGACATTCTCTACCCTCTATGGGTAACCCCACAGATAAAAATCCAAATGATTTAGTTTAAGGGGAGCAAGAATATCACACCATACAACTCGATCTATTCACCTGTGCAGGTAGGTATGTTTAATATAGAATATCACTTTAGTAAAGGAACTTTAATAAGAGAGTATCTAATAAAATCAATCTTACATATGATACTGTCATAATACATAGAAGAAACTAAAATGTCTTCACTCTACGTCATATCTAGTCACCAGGAACAACAGTTATACAGCATCCTTTAAGTTACAGAAAATTTTTCTCGAACTTTTCCTGGAAAATATAACCTTTTTCTTAATAAAATCGAAGAAATAAAGTATTAGAAATTTCATTGTAATTATCAGGGATAAAAGAGAATATGCTGACACTTTACACTCAAAAAAGTCACGGTATAGAACTTATATAATTTTTTTTATCATCTTCCAAAACGGAAAGACTTTAGTTTTCTTATAAAAAAAAAGACGTCATTTACTATCCTGTGTAGCCATTAAAAATTCCTTTATGATCTCTAAAGTTTTTCTCCATTATACACGCCGTTGTTTATTGCTATTTTGCCATCGAGTGATACGTTTCAGAAAATAAACATCATCAAATAAAGAATTTTAAAAAAAGAAAACAATTTTAAAAGCAATAATAGTAGATAAAATACTACAAATAATTTATTCGTACTTCCACGTTGAGTTTACTCGTCATTTTTCGATTGGTATACTCATTTTTTACGTAGGAGTACGTTTTATTGTTAATAAAATAATTTAACAGAAAATCTTCGAGAAGATTGTTTTTTACACATTTATTGAAATTTCAAAAGTCCTATATTAAATTTAAAATGTGCTCTATTTTTGCTTGTAGTTCACTTTAAAAAGTAATAAAGTAATCAAATCTTTTTATGTCTGAATAGTTGAATACGATGTTAAACTTTCAGAAATACATTAAGTTGGCTACCTACATAACTTGTTCAAACAAATGCAGATCTAATAAAAATATATAATTTAGTGGCTGGAATAAAACTGGTGGATTAACACTCAAAATATTGAAATTGTAAAAGAAATGCCTCTCCATTAAAACATTTCTTTACAGTTACATACAGTATACATTTTATACAGTGACAAAATCCACATAACTAGATATGAAAGTCTCGTTTTATGTATGTATGTGCACATACATAAAATGAGGCAAATATTTGTAAGATAAAAATAAGCATTACAATGAAAGTGATAAAATAATTTTCAAAATAAAATAGCTTAATCTGAAATTCTTTATCTATATTTCTGATAAACACGTTTATTGATTTGAATAAAAAAAATTAAATAAATAAATTTTTCTAAGAAAATGAAACTCTAGATTCATTACACTTGCTTATTTTTTAGTTCATAAATCATTATTCTTATACAAAAAACTTATTTTTTATCATTGAATATTTAAAATCCTATATATGATATAAAAATAATTATACAGTTGATTAATATGTTAAGAAGTTAACGAATCTTCTATTCTTCTAGGCAAAACACTAAGAAAAATGTTAACAGAGTAATTATTTTATTTTAATAAAACATAATCATCGTTAGAATTTTATAATACTTTATATTTATTATACTGCTTTTTTCAAATACTCATTTTATTGTTTTATTTTTCAGTAATTATAAATCATCATCGAGCCATAAATCAGAATTCAGTAAGTAATTGCACATTTCCTATTATAACTGTAGTAATTTGTCTTTTTTAAAAATTAATTATAATAGAAAAAAATGAGGCATTTTATTTTGAGCTTTTCTTTTTGTTAGGATTATTTAATACAGTAAATGATACGTAAGATTCAGTTTATTCAGTTATCAGGATCCATCTGAAATTTCTCATAATGCTAATTGTAGTCATCTACTTTTTATAAAGAGCGTGCACAGGTCTATCTATTCGAATTCATCCTATTTGTGTCTAATATATAGTGGTGCCTCGTATAACGTACTTAATCCGTTCCAGGTGCACGTCAAGTGGAAAGTCTGTTATACGAAACGCATTTTCCCACAGAAATACGTGTTAAAACATATAATTCGTTCCGCAGCATAAAATAACCGTACTGTACCATTAAAAAAATGAAAATGGAGCAGTCACCAATTATGCCGGGTAGTCAGATGTTGTGAGGAGGATGTGGAGGAACACTTTCTTCATACATTCATACAGATACAGCCTTTTTACACATTGCAGCAGGTCTCTTTTTATTGTTTTTTAATCGGAGTGAGATTCAGGAGAGGCTACCGGAGCTTGCAGGGTCATCTCCTCTTGTTCATCCTTTGTTTTTTGGCATCTTGCTTCTTGAAAAACATGTCCAAGGTGGTCTGTTTCTCTCTCTTCTTCAACACCTGTCGGAAATGACGGGCAAGCGTGTCATTGTAGAGATCATTGATCCTGTTGGCCTCAGCTCTATTTGGATAATGAGTGTTGGTAAACTCCTGAACCTCTCACCATTTGACAAGGAAGTTTTTGTCAACTTTCACTCCTTCTGANTAAATTGACAAAAAAAAAATATTTTTTAGTTTATCTTGTCTTTTCCCTATTTTTTCCCCACTGAATTTAAAGGAATATATCAAGCAACATTTTATATATTATATAGTCTTCTCACGAAATTTAGAAAAATATCTTATTTTTCGAAATTTAAAATATTTTTTATAAATTCTATTTTAATTTAATCAATGTAGAATAAATTTACAAATAAATTGCAAAATATTTATAAAAACAACAGAAAAAATACAATTAATCTAGGAAATAATCGCGCTTTCTTCAGAATTCCTGATGTTTTTCTTATACAAGAAGTGTTATTTTCGCGAAAAATCGATATTAACAAATATATATTTCGAAAAATCCGGAACATTATTTGACTAGTTAAAACGTAATATTTTGTGTATATATATTTTCCTGTCTGTACGTGTGTCTGCTTTCGAATAATTTAATATATCTAACATTGAAAAATGCTTTTTAATTTAGAAATATCTAACATTTTTCAATAAAATAAACAGTAAAAAACGATCAAGAAACAAAAATTATTGTATTTTTTTTAAAGAATAAAACAAAAATATTGTAAATATTTTTAGTTTCAATTTTAGAACTATAATAAGTATAAATATAGAGAAATTTTTCATGGAAAATTTCCTGAAATATATAAAATTTAACATAGAAATGCTCTTACTCAGCTGTTGGATGAGAATGATAAACGAAAATTGCCTAACAGATAGTAGGATAGACAAATAAATTATTTGCAATATTGTATCCAATATTTTTCTTTATTTTTTTAAAACTGGGTTTTCTATTTTTCTAAATGTTTCTATAATATAATATTCGATGACTAAACAGTAGTTTAATTAATATAACAAGTCATTGTTATGATTACTAACATTTATACTTAATATATTTACATAATAGTAAACAATTTAAATTATAAACCTTGACATTCGTCTCATAAATTAAAGCTACTTTGTTATTTTACGAACTTTGTTAGAGCTCTTCAATTATTACATTATTCTATAATTACAGGTTAAGTACTAATATCAACATTATGCTCAAATAATAACATTCTCGAGATCTAAATTCAAATATTCACTAATTAATTGATGTTCATATGTATTTTTGTGCATTTTGTTTGTTATAAACGTTATTAGAAAGTTTATTTTCCTCTTAATACAACAGATTTATAATTCGATATACAGCCAAACTTCGATTTCGCATCATCATTTGTTTATGAAATTGGTACTAAATTAAGTGGTGCTAAATCGAAGTACAATAGTAAAAATTACGTATAATGAACAATCTTATCACTCATTTCTATTCATGTATGTAGCAAACTTTCGATATAAAGTGAACTCTCAAAGGACGGCTAAATTGTAATGAGATTTAAGTGTTTGAAATCACAATTTGCCAATAACAATGCCGTTTGCAACGCAAAATTATATATTTAGTAATTTAAAAGCTACTGAAGATTCACTATTTAGAGGGTCCGGATCCGTTTACAAATTCTTATTGGCACTTATTGGTGGTGGCTTTACTTAGAAAAGCTCTAGATAGAGATTCGACTTACAAAAAATTTTATAAAAATTTACAGTATTTACATAAAAGTTATTTTTAACCACTTTTTTATAGATTATTTATATTATTATTCTTTAATTCACTTTTATTGAATTAATAAAAATAAATTATGAACATTTAATGCATAATTAATTAATTAATTAATTTATTTATTTATTTATTATTATTATTATTAAATGGAAAAAGTAAATTATTATAATCATTATGGGAATAATTACTAAAATATTTTATACTCGGATTTCCTCTTTATTAAAAAAAATAAAATCCATTTTCTTTACTAGCCATCACCGATATCTTTTTTAAACTAAATGTTAGAATGTAGGATAAAACTTTAATATTTTCAATAATTTAAACAATTTCTTCATATTGCCTATTTTACGTAGTAAATTTTATGTAATTTTACATTAAATATAACAATGTTAAAGCAAGCTTTCTAATGCGTAATTTATTGTAAAAATTGCTTTGAAAATTTATTTAAAAAGCGTAATTTATAAAAATATACTTCATAAAGCTTAGTTTTACAGCGATTTAATACATAAAACGTTTAGAAGTCTTGTAAAGTGTAATTTATTGCAATAAATTTTGATAAAGCATAATTTTTACGGTATAATTTATCACAAAAAATATTGTAAAACTTGTAATTCCTACTGCAACAATAGTGTCTTAATTTTACAATAATCTTTTTATCTGTTTATTTTTCATTAAAATAAATAATAAATTTCGTCGATTTGTATGAATTTTGTACAGAAGATTCATATAAATCTTGCATTAAAGTAAACTTGTAACGCATAATTTTGTGTAAAGCATAGTTTTAGAGCGTAATTTATTGAAAAAAAATCTTGTAAATTTGTAAAATATAATTTATTTTAAAAGATGTTTATAAAATATATTACAAATTATTAATTTATTACGAAAACTTTCTTTTATAAATGTATAGTTACAAAGCGAAAATTTGTAGAGTTTCAGTTTTAGAAAGTAATTTAATATGTAATTTATTGTAATAAATTTGAATAAATTTACGTAAAAGTATAGTTTTTACAGCACAATTCAGTAATTTAATCCAAGAAATGCTGTAAAATAAACCTTTTTAAAACTTTATTCTATTTAACTTTTATAAAGAATTTTGAAAATTTTTTTATTAAAATAAATAATTTTATATATCAAATATTATTTTAAATTTTATGGAACAAACATTATAATGTGTAATTTACCGTAAAAGATATAAAATATACTTACAAAGCTTAATTTATTACAATATATTTTATAAAACATAGTTTTAAAGCATAAATATTTAAATATATATATATATATATATAACGTATGATTTATACAAGAGTTTTGCAATATAAATTAATAAAACATGTTTTTATTGCATTTATTATAATAAATTCTATAAAACTCGTAAATTTTATTTATTGTTTTATAGAATTTATAGTGTATAGCAAAACGTAAATATAAAGTTTAACAAGAACTTACATGTATTAACATATATTTCTATATAAAATTTAAAACGTAAATTAATATAAAAACACTTTATAAAACATTTTTTATAGATTTTAAACATTAAATTTGGGGAAAAGTGGATAATATGAAATCTTTTTTCCTTCATTATTTAATAGTTTAGTTGAAACTAAGCAGTTTTACAAGAAAAATTAATTAAGCAACCCTAGACTTTAATAATACATGTAAGTATTTTGTTTGATTAAAAACAAAGTTTCAAAAATCTAAGAATAAACAATCTTACGTAAGATCAATTGAATTATTCTGTAAATGCTGACGTTAATGGAAATAATATCGATGAGCGTAAAAAAATAAAATAACGTAAATTAAAAATGAAGTAAACTAATTGTAAATATTTATCCGTCGCGTGCAATTGTCTTTATAAAGAGATTCAATCTTCCACGAACTAATTATATGTAAAATTTAACCTTTTTCGTTTAGTAAATATAATTTTTTTTCCTGTTTTTGTTGCCTCTTTCTTTATATTATCCACAGTTATTATTTTAAAATAAATAAATTTGTGTTACGCTAAAGTCTGTTTACTCAGAATAATCCGAGATATCATTTTATTTTCTGCAGAATTTAAATAATTAAATTCTTCCAAGATTATACTTTAAAAAACAACGATCATACGTATATATCTATAAAATATTCAAGAACATATCTTTATTAATGGATAATTTTTATGGCTTTAAATAATTAAGTATCATCTTGGCATTTTTGCCAAGTTTAACATAACGCTCGCTACGTTCAAGAAAGATGGTAAGCAGCCATTTTGATGAAGGAATTTAAACCTTTTTAAAGCACTTTTTTTCAGATAAAGAAAGAAAGCCGAGTTCTAAATTAAATTCTTTCTTGGCTTTCTAGCTTTAGTATAAAAGAACGAAGCTATTCCATCACAAGCTTTTTCAAAATCTTATAAAACTTGTTGCTTCGAGAATTGACTATAGAAAAACCGATTAAAACAAAACCAAAATAAAATCGTAAAAACATTTTTGCCTCTATTTTATCAATAAGAATCTTCTCTAACTAAAAAAAATTAATTTTTTTTAGATTTTTTTAACGAAAATTTCGCTTCATTTCTATACAGGAAACTCGACTAAGTTCACGTTTAAAATGTATATCACAGACTACACGTACTTTCTGGAATTGCACTGGATATTCCTTAGAGAGTGCTTACCCACAAATCCACGAATGTCTTCTTCTATGGGAGTAATTTGGTACTGGCAAAGTCAACCCACTTCGTCTATCATCAGAGCGTTGTCTTTGAGTCGATAACATTGTCTACTTGTAACTGACTTCAAAAACCGGACATGAAGGTGAGTCACGAAACTCAATATTACCTTATTTTATTCCGTATAGGCGTTCTGGGTACTTGATAATCGATTGATTACGTCAGATATACGCGTATGACGTCACCAGCTTATAACATTCAAGTGACAATAGACACCTTGCAACATCCAATCCATCTCTTTACATATTTGACAATTCCCTTGTCCTTATATCTGTTACAATTCCAAAGCTATATTAAGTTACTGAAATTCGAAATTTGCATTATAACAACGTTTAATTTATCCAGTTTTTTTCCTTTATTTTTTACAGAAATTCCTCTCCTTTATACTTTCTTCATTAAGGACAAGACGTTTCAGCAGTTAGGATTTCATACCCTTTTATTGTTAGAAGCATCTATTCAAGTATATTCTTGTATGAAAGAGAAAGAGCTCATATCAATGGTAAAAAATGTTTTATAATAATAATAATAATAATAGGGGTAAAAAGTTTTTAAAATGTTTCTAAATCCGTTCTTACAAAAGTGAGATTTTTGAAAAATCGATCGTGTCCACAGCGATAAGAAAGAAAGTATCACATCATATATATTTATATATACATACATACACACACACACCACACACACACACACATATATATATATATATATATATACTGGTATCATTAACTAGTCCTGTGACTGTAGGGATTGTTACCATGGCGACCCATCCCTTGTGGGTTTTACATAGATGCAGATTAAAGATAGGAAATTCCGAAGAGATTTCGTCATAACTAAAAATAAATGATGAATTAATTAATAAAAGTACAAGATTGAAATCAATATGGATATTCTATTAAAGAAGCAATCTCTATAGTTTTGCTTATGGGATAGACTACACCCTATACAATGACAGAAAGGTAATGGAAAATGCTCTTATCGTGATTAATACTGCAAAAGGTCTATATGTGCGGGTTATTAATTTTTTAGAACCTGGAGAGGTTGTACTAAATTTCGACTATAACATTTTCCTTTTTTTCCTCTTAGATGCTCTTCTTTTGAGATAGTTCTTGATCTAAATTTATGCAAGAATTTGCTCGCTGTATTGATAGTAGGGACTGTAATTCCTATTAGATGTTGTATTAATGATCGAAATTAAATAAATAATTAAGTTGTTACAGTCGAATTACTCTTTTATAAATTGCTAAATCAATGTAATAAGCCATACAATGATTATTCCATCAGCTTTTTGGTGAGTGATGTTTACATTACAGTTAAGTTACACTAATTTCAGATGTTCTTTAGCATTTTTATAAATTTAAAATATATAGAAGCAACTTTTAAAATGTACTTTTTCATAATTCAAACGCAATTTAAAATTTTATAAAAAGAAAAATATGTAATAAGGCATGAATGTTTAAAATTTCATTAAAGTTTGGTTTTAAGGAAACTTCAAATCTCTAGTAATTTAATATATATTTATTAAGTAAAATATAAAATTTTCTAACTTTTTCAATATTTTTGTCGATTTTATTTCTAGGAAAGATTAATTGATTGTAAGAAAATGTGAAAAGTTGATTGTAAGTATAAAATACTGTAGGCTAGACTATTAAAAAAGGCATTTTAAACCTCATACATGCATATAATAATACTACTTTATACACATAATACAAGGCCGGTAGATTAATACATATATTTTTATTAGGTCCATAACTAGAAGAGATAGTATTGGCTCGTATAAAATTTTGATCCATCCCTGTTTATTGTTTCAAATAACGAAATTCTGTCATTTAAAATATATTTAACGTTTAAATTTCGAATATATTTGTACACATTATTTAATAGTCCATATTACATTATATTTTAAAAATTTTTCGGCTCTCCCCAAATTCCTCCTTTCTTGGGTTACTCCGTAATCCCCAAACCTCCGTAAGGCCATTCGACAATTTACGAGTGCCACCCCTACTATACTTATTATAGCTACGCCCTTGTTTGTATTTGTACAAACTCTACAGCACCTTGTATAGACCTACCGTATTGGTATACAAAGTATATTAATAAGGTAGGCCTATACACATACACAAACACGCACACCTGGATGCCAAGATAAATACATATAACGGTAACAAGGATAGCAACGATATTAAAATACTGCAATACTAACCCGGAACTAACTTCGAAATTTATATTTTCCAAGTTTTTATTAATTACTAATAATACTGTGTAAGATGTCAGGAAGTTAACAATATGTTTATGAATCTTAAAATTGTATTTAAATACAAAAGTTTAGATCATTAGAGAAGGATTAATTTGCTTGATTAATAATTCAAAACTGTTATCTATAAATATCACTTAGTGACGTACAAGATCCAAAAATAGCTTTACAAATGAAAGTTATAAAAATCGAGTTACAAAATCATTGAAGTCTCGACCAGCTACCGAATTGAATGAACAATTTATTTTGTATGAATAAAGAAATAAATTTCGATTTAAACAAAATATGAGAAATATCCATCTTTAAAAATTAAATTAAAATTAAAATATTTACATTTTATACCAAGAAAATTTAGTATCCTGTTAAAAATCTAGACATTATAAAGCGTTATATAATTAATTCATATACGTTAATCATTTATTTTAAATGATACAACTCGTAAAGCGAGACGATACTTCATATTTACATCTTTAAATATCCCACAGGAGTAATCTAACCATTAAATATTTTCTCACTCTTAACACGTTTAAAACTTTAAATTAACATCAAACAATTTAATTTAGAAAAAAAATAAGTAAATAAAAAATAATTAACACCTACACATTAGTATTTAAGCAATCTGTTAGATGAAGTCAGCCAGTTAAAAATTTGTTCATTTAAAATCGATATAATTTTTTTTTTAACTACGATAAAAAATTTTTATCGAAATTAATTTATCTTCGATTTAATAAATTAATCATATTTTTAAACACGTTTTCCGCCTGACAGACTTATCTAAATTTAAAAGTATAAAAATAAAAAAGTTGGCATGGATGATTGAGTGGTCAAGAGGTCAAGACATTGGATGTCTATCTACAAGAGGGTCGTGATTAATTACAGTTAATGAATGGAGTATTGTTTCATTCTAGGAAGAGTAGTAGTTATTAGCCATTTTTAACTACAGAAAAAAAAAGCTAGAGTTGAAATAATTAAAGAAAAATATTAAATTTACTCAATTTTAATCCTTTCAGATACCCGATTTATTTATTTTTCTTATATTAACTTCTGACACGATGAAGATTGGCATTGTTAATTTTATTGTTTGTACAGTTAAAATACTTTTCTAAACATAGTTAGTTATCGAATTACTAGGCTTTCACCTGATGTTTCTTGTTAGATTTTTTTATAAACATATATATTTATACATAGTCTAACCCTTGTTTAAGAAGACAGAAATATTTCTGGATAAGTTCCTGAATACAAAATTTGGCCCTCACCCATTTGAACGATATTGGCCTAATGTAAAGTGGGTTAAGTCTACCGCGCACAACGTAAACAGATGTTAAAATGTCGAAAGAAAATTATTCTTGTACAGTACGCTTAATTAATGCATTAACTCGTTATAACGAGTCTCGCTGTAGTGAAGCTGTGCGGAATAATTACTAAAATTTATATATTTTTTTCTTTTTTTTTAACGAGTGTTGTTATAATTAAGGATCGAAAGTTATGGATTGTTATTTCAATCAGATTGACATTTGAGTAACTACTGAACAGGTTCAAGATAAGAAAAAAATACATAAAGAGATCAAAGTGAAGCGCAGTCATTAACTACTTTTAAATAATAACAGAAGTCGAAGCGAAAGACGTTTAACGATCGACAGCTAAGTATTATGTTACTTAGAAGGTTTTTCATAGTCTCGACGTTATATTTTGCTAATTTTTTTAGTCATTTTAACACCGAAATTTTCGAGAAAATGAAGTGAATTTAACTCATTAAACGCACCTTAATTGATCAATGAGTTTATAATTGGAAGGGAGTGACCCAAGAGGGGTTTAAATTCCACTCTCTTAGATAAGGAAACAAACAATTCATACTATAGACCTTCAGTTAAAGTTCTATTTTAAACATTTTACACGATTAAATACTGTTTCGTCTCTTTCTTTTTCTTTTTTCTTTTTATGTTTTAATTGTAATATCGCTCGAAGCGAAAGTCGAAAAATAAAAATAAACAACTTTAAATGGTAAATATTTAACACGCTCTTGCATAAATTTTGGAAAATTTCTGTTTACTCTGGCAATTCAGAATTTAATTTTAACTAAAATTAAATTAATTTAAGATGTAAAAGTGGTGATAATTATTCGCATATATTTAAGAATTCTGGTAAATTTAAGATTTTCAAATTGATATGATAGCTTCCGGATGATTTATATTGTTTCTTTTCTTTAAATTTGTACGGGATTTATAAGATTATGTTGCCAGCAAGCCTTATCATCCTCGAACTTTATTTTTTAAATAAAAATGATGATGATCAGTTTAGTCGTGAGCACACGCACACAGCATAACGTGCTTTATCTCATTCCCAATCCAGACACGATCAGGGAAGACATTTATTTGGTTACCTATCAAAATAACTATTTAATTTTCTTTTAAAATACAAATTTAACGACTGATAAAATTAGGAAATAATATTTCACAGTTTTAAAAATCAATTTTAAGTCCACAAACCGCTATGTGATACTAAAATACACGAATCTGATATGATCATATTCTTTACAAATGTATTTTTTCTGATTTGCAATTGAGTTTCCCAACGAGTAGGTCGCAAACCACATTTATAGTTACTTTCGTAGTTTTATAGATGGGAAAAGGAGTTTCCAATGAAAAAGTTGGGAGAAATAGAGAAAATTTTGAGTCTAGACCTAACATATACTTCCATTGATTAGTATTGTTGATTTATAAAGAAAATTGCCTTAATATGTAGCCTAACTTGAGTTGCTTAATATTGCATTCCTGGTAGAATTATTCTGACATAAATTAGTAATACCAGACATTGTTATTTAGGAAATATGTCGAGTTGCCTTGATATTGCTTTCGGTTATCAATAACAGAATTTTCTTTAAATTTTTTCTACATCTCTTACTTGTCTATAATCTACAAGAATGCCCTCATTTGTCTGTAACTTTGCTAAGAAATTTTATATATGAAACAGATATTGCTATAGACTTATGAATAGTGTAAAGTTACTGAACATTTATGTATCCAACAAACGATTTGGCGATGGTTTGATGATCAGAAACGTAGTTTGAGGGTGTAAATATATTGATAATATTATATTAATATTATTCATATTCATAATATCACAATAGCTTCATACAGCTAGGTAAAAATACTCTGAGTGCAGGCTTCGTATGCAAAACTTAAGATTTATGATATTCTGTATCATAGCCTACAGAACAGGCCTACAGAAAACACATAGCTCATAAACAGCATTGCGTCATAGGAAACAATAACAATTTATTGTCGTGTTTAATAAAATTTTGACACATGTTGCGTGGATGGAGCCGAATTTTGGAATGGTATTGATACCTTACACTATAAGATGAACAGCTTTAGCATCTGCACTCGCTGCAATCCATTGTAGTTCATAAATTATATAGAAGGATAAAGAAAAGAGTCACGGGGACTATTACTCATCCATACAAAAAATGCTACCTCGAAGAAACAAGAGGAATGTAAAACAGAAACAAATTTTAGAATAGTTATGATCAATGAACCGAGAAATATATGCATAAAAAATTCGAATTAATTTACTTTTGAATCGAATCAATTTAAAATTTTTATATTACAATCATACAGAAACTTAATATATTTTCTACTTTAAGTTTTTTTAAGTGGATAGTAATATTTTTTAAATTAATTTTTAGAAAATATTACATTCGTTTTCATGACTGTGCTCTTTAAAAAATTAGAATTTTCTGATAATCTAAGGATTAACGAGGCAGACGAGGTAGAGATTCAAAGGGCCAACTGTCCTAATAAATCATATTCAAGCATTAAAACGCTTGTCAACCAAAAATGTCTTGGAACCAATCTATTTTGGCTGGTTATCTACTTCGAAAGAATGAGACATTAACAATGAAGCGAGTCAGTTAATATCCGTCTTAACTCCCTTCCGATCCCAAAAATACATCATACTAAAGTTAAATAAATGTCAATTAATGCCTGTCATAAATTTTCGACATATGCTCTTTCTATTGAACATACAAAAAATATATTTATGACAATGTTTAGCGAATGTCGTGTAGACGATGGCTAAAAAAGTTGGATACGAAGAAACGGTCTTAAAAAGTGCACTGTTTGAAAAAATTGATGTAGCAAATGGCTTTTTTAAAGCATTTAATTTAATTTATGGACGTCTGCTTGTCGATTCTTCTTTTGTAATTTAGTATTCGAACTTTTTTAAAGCTACTCGATGGTATTTTTCTTTCTTATGTTATCAAAAATAGCGAATTTGGTTTATTTTTATCAATATTTACTATTAATTTTTGATTTTTTAAATAAAATAACAATGGTTTTATCAACAGTAATGCTATTATTATTTTTGATATTTTTAAAATAATTTAAAAATTTGTTGATTATTGTAGTGACTATTGAGGACTATTTTCTTTAGGATCCGTAACCGAAAATTTCCAGAAATCTATCAGTTCTAATTTTGATAACAATCAGAAAGAGATTTAAGGGTACTTAAACTAAACATTTATCACCTATTTAATGTACAAACGTTACTTGTTACG